TGTGGAAGATTTTATACCACCGCATCATCCCTTAAAAGCCATATAAAAATTCACACGGGAGAAAAGCTACAAATGTTTAGACTGTGGGAAAGCATTTGCTCGTTCATCTTACCTTATAAATCATAGCCGAATCCATACGGGAGAGAAACCTCACAAATGCTCAGAGTGTGATAAATGTTTTTCGCAGAAATATAGTCTTGTAATACATCAGAGAATCCACACGGGAGAAAAACCATATAAATGTCTGGAGTGTGGGAAATTTTTTGCCCAACCTTCATCACTTTGCGCGCACACCAGAAGTCACACAGGAGAGCGGCCCTACAAGTGTGCAGGATGTGAGAAAGATTTTCACTGTAAATCAAAGCTAAAAATGCACCAGAAAGTCCATAGCAGCAATAAATCTCAGTTGTGAACATTTTTTTTCAACAGTCACATCTTAACATTTTCTAGGAACATCATTGTTAGTTCTTAGTAGCCGTTTGTTGATCAGTGAGGAGAGCGGAAGATCCAGAGAGGAGAAAATGGGGGCAATTAGGATGCATCCGGTTGCTTATTTAGTGATAAAGTGTTGATGTTGAATATGTGCTGGCTGAGGATAAAGATCGAATGTTTCTTTTTCCTATTATCTTTTTTGGAGGGTTTTCTTTTTATCACAGAGTTCAGCTCTTAGGAGACACGAGAAAACACACAGAGGGGAGAAAAATGAAAAGTGCCTCGAATGTGGGAAACGTTTTTCCAGGAAATCAACCCTGGTCCGACACCAGCGACTTCACACTGGAGAGAGACCCTATGAATGCCCAGAATGTGACAGATGATTAGTGGATTCTTATCAACTTCAGAAACACCAGAAATGGCACAATGTGTATATAATGTTTCAAGAGTACAGGAAATCTTTGACGCATCAGCACAACTGGAAATGGATTTCTGGCCATAAGTTGTTAGTCATAAGTCAAGGCCCCCAGATATTTTTGTCATTTTTTTTACTAGGCCTTTGTTGATGAGTGAGAAAAACTGAAGATCTGGAGAGGAGAAAACGGGGGTGGGGTATAACAAAGATGCATCCAGTTGTTTATTTAGTGATAAAATTTTGACGTTGAATATATGCTGGCTGAGGATGAAGATCAAATGTTTCTTTTTCTTACCATCTTTTTGGAGGGATTTTTTTTTTGCTTTTTTTTCACATTGTCTTTTTCATATGTTCACACACACACATAGACATACTGAACCTGTGTTGAGTTTCTTTGTTTGATCTGTGAATATAGTCCCTAAAGTATTGTTCAAAACAATCAAGAGGACTGTTTTCAGAGCATGGACTGAGTCTAGATGGCGGTCAAATTGTGCCATGCTATGCAGTCAAAGTCCTGCTGCTTTTTGATTAGGAACAAAGAGCCGCCATTTTGGATCTTTTCATCCTCCCTCACTGGACACTTCTGACTTCCAGGGTTGGATTCAAAGGTGTAGATTTTGGGTGAACTTTAGGAAAAATGTCCAGGGGATTTGGATGGACCCCCGCTGTTAAGGGTGGGCCATTGGTGGCTCCCTACACGTGCCTCACACACTCGTGATTCAATGCACCACACCTTACAGCACATTCAGAAAATATTCAGACCCCCCCCCTTCACTTTTGTCAATTTTGTTATGCAGCAGCTTGATTCTACAGTTGTTGAATTTTTTTTTATTTTTTTATTAATTTTCTAATATTACATTTGCATATTTGAAAACCAATGTGGCAGCTGAGTACAATAATTCCATTACATTTAAATTTCATCAATACAAATCTCAAAATATTACAACTAATTCCCTTTCCCCTTAATATATACTGTCTCATATTCAACCCAACACAATTCTTATTCTATCAATCAAACAGAAAATAACTTTCTAGCATTCATCAATACTCTTGTTTATACATATCTTAATTAATTTAACATTTCATCTTTTAGAGAGTCAATGACCTAATAAATTTTTCTTAATTTTAATTTTCCATGAATATGCTAAATTTAATGTTTGATCCTTTTCATTTCTAAATTTTAAATGAAATTCTTTTTTTTCCTCATTAATCTACACTCAGTACCCCATAATAACAAAATGAAAAACGAATTTTAGAAATGTCTGTAATTTTTTTAAAAGAAAAAAACTGAAATATCACATTGGCAAATGTATTCAGAGCCTTTGCTCAGTACTTTGTGGAAGCACCTTTGGCATTACAGCCTCTGAGTCTTTCGGGGTGTGATGTGACAAGCTTTGCATACCTGGATTGCAGGATGGGATGACTTGAAGCTGCTAACTGATAGAGTTAGAATCATTGTCATTCCCCTGGATTGGGAGATTTTCTGCCACTCTTCCTTCCAAATGCTCTCAATCTTAGTTAGCTTGGATGGCTGCAGCGGAACAAAACTGACGAAAGCAAAGGGGGTCTTAATCCCTTCTGAATATGCCAGGGTCCAGGTATGCATCTTTGAGGAGTGTGCATCTTTATGAAAATCATCCAGGGAGGAGAAATATAAGAATTCAAATACACGCTCAAGACCAGAACTTGTTCCAGGTCAGAGAGGCTGGCAGTGTTTTTACTTACTTGCAACAAGCAGCTGAAGAACAGGAGACGAACCATTATGACACTGATAATTAACCCAGATTCAGACTTTTATGATTTGCCATCTAATGAGACCCAGAAAGTGTGATTTTTCCGCTGTAGTACCTGCCCTGTGGAAGACCCTTTCTTGGGGGACCCTGCAGGAGCCCCACCCTTCTAGCCTTCTGGAAAGTGTAGAGGACTGTTTTTCCCCCAGGTCTTCGGACAGAGCAAAGGTGGGCCTGGAGGATTTGGAGATTGGGTACTTTGAGTGCGTGAGTCTGTGTGTGTCAGGCACCCATTCTGTTGGTTTTGGTTCTATTGTCATGCATCCCCGCCTCACGTGTTTTACAGGAGGGGTGGAGAAATGGATGGATAAATGTTTTCTGAACAAGGCAAATCAATTACTTTGTGACTGAGGTGGATGGGGTCTAAATTTTATGATAAATAAATAGTGTTGAGGTGGTCCTCGACTTACAACCATAATGGAGGCTACCATTATGGATCCGGGTCAAAAAGTAACTTTTGTGACTGGGGGGGGGTCTGTTGTAACTTCAAATGGTCACAGGCTGATGGCTGCCTGTCCTGAATTTCTATGGCTGTGTGTGTCTCTCTCCAGCTGTGCCCGAGCTCTTGGCTGAAATGGGGGGCCGATCCAAGCTCAGCCGTTTTCCCTTGAGCTGTGAAGAGAAGAGGGCAGAGACCCCCACAGGAGGGACCAGGAATAATGAAACCCCCTTTGTGGGCAGAAGGAGGTGAATGCTCACAAATGCACACGGGGGAGTGGAGGAATTAGCAGCGTGAAACCTGGCAGAACTGGCTCTTTTTTTCCAGTATCCGTTGACCTTCCGTGTAGCCCAGGACTGGATCTTCTTCCCAAAGAGCCTTAAATCCATAAAGGGAAAGAGCCTCCATAAGACCTGAGAAGCATCAGGGAACCAGGCGCCTCTGGAGAACCAGGTGTCTGGATCAAGGTGCTCACGGGGCCCCGCCCTGTGCTTGGAGGGGGAGGGAAGATGCCAGAAGGCCCCTGAAGTAGCCAATAGGAGTCGGGCAGATCAGCAACTATGTCATAAAGGATGTTTCTATGGGATCAAGAGGGAAAAGACCACTTCCAAAGCAAAACAGCTAGGAAAACCTAGATGCTATTTCATGGAGACAGAGGAGAAGAGAATTAACCAAAGTTAATTAAGGGCGAAGGAGGAATTAAGGTAGGTCTCTGTTAGCGTGGTTAATAAACCCCACAAAACATCACATTACATTTAGACTATTTGAAGTGGCATCTCTATGGAAAATGGAGTAATTGGTTCCAGACTTATAGAAATAGGGAAGAAAAACAATGTTATATGGCATATGAATAATAAATATCACAATAGAATAACAAAAATATCCATAAAAGAATTTAAATGTATGGTTAAAACCACAACAGTACATACAGGAGCCTTAATTGCACACACACTAACCTGACAATAATTGAATTTTGGGTCACATGAAAGGCAACCTGGTATGGATTTATAATTCACACTAAACTGAATATCACACAATTCAAAGTTACACTTCTCATGACCTACATTATATTGTTCAGCAATCTGTGTTCCAATTAATCCCGAGTGTGCAATTTTATCATTCTCTTTTGAATTACCATCAGATGCATCTTCATTCTATAGCGTATCTCATTTTTTACAAACTTACCTCTGGATCGTTGTTCTCCCTATTGATGAACAAGGAAGAAAAATAGCTAAGGATATAAATAATCACACATTCCATTTACTCTACCCCCCCATAACAATTAAACATTACAAAACAATAGTAATAAAATTGAAAATTATTAAACATTATCTGTAGTAACCCCTTGTATCCAAAAATGAAAACAAAACTGATGTGATAACATCTTTGGTTAAATCACCAAGACTTGATTTCACCTCCTCCTTGGAGCCCCTCGTGTTTTCTTTCTTGCCCAGGTAAAAATTCCCGCAAGAGAAACCGGAGCGATGTAGGAACTTTGGGACTCTCTTTCAGGGAGACAAACCACACGGGTGTTCAGAGGGTGGGAAATCTGGGGTGATCAGTGAGGAAAAGGGCACTCCAGGGATATTAAAAACATGATGCAGGACAGTGCAAATCCTTTTCTTAAGGCTTTCAATGCCTTCAAACGTTTCAAACAGTGGTTCTCAATCTGTGGGTCAGGACCCCATTTGGGGTCAAACGACCATTTCACGGGGGTTGCCAAACAACGCAGTCCACCATTTTTTCCCCCTTTTCCTTAGCTGTGCTACTCCCTTTTATTATTGGCTTTTGAAAGCCAATAGAATAGACTCTCTTGAATAGAGTCTAATTCTATTGGCTTTCAAAAGCCAATAGGAATTGTCCAGGCGGTCTCTGCCCTGCTGAGCCCGCCAAAAGTCCCATTCTGCAAACGGTGCTGCACCAGTTGAGTAGTCCTCGACTTACGACCGGTTGAGTAGTCTTCGACTTACGACCGGTTGGGGGGTCACGGCATTAAAAAGGTTGAGAACCACTGGTTTAAAACAATACCACTCCAGAAGACTGTGGACTTCCTGTGGAAACAAAACTTCCAAGAAACCTTAAAAAGTTTTACTTTGCAATCCTAAAGGAGGTGACGACCCAGACCTCTTGGGGGGGGGGGTGTCTCTTCCACTGTGAAGATCGAGGGTGGATAAGGGAGCAAAAACTAGCCTGAGTATTAAGTGGCATCTGCAGGATATTTCCCCCCTCTAAATCAGATGATTTTTTAAATAACATCCAGGCCAGGGAACCTTTTTCTGACTTTACCACAATTATGAATGGCTGTCTGTTTTTTGAAAAGATTTCAGGATAAAATGTTTTCTCTTCTGCAAAACGTTTCCGGGACTCCTTTCTGTGGGGGCTCACAAATGTATGAAAATAATTGTCTCATTTCAAATAGACGGATTTTCCGCATACAAAGCTCTGGTGTGGTTTGTCACCTGGAAAGAGTGTCCAGTAGTCCGAGCACCTGGAGGGTTTCTCTTCAGGGCATTTTTACCTGCAGACCCAGGTAGACACTCCAGGAAAATATTTCTCACACACCAAATGCACAATTTCCTTTTTTGTGGATTCTTTGGGGGCCCCCGAGGTCTCAGCGAAGTCAGTATTTTGCAATATTCCAAGCATTTATACAATGACCCCCTTTTGCTAATCCTCCAGGGTTTAGCCAGGTTTCATTACAGGCAATCCTTGACTTATGACGTCACTGAACTATTCAAAATTGTGACAAGTGTCGACCGCCCATAAAGCAATTCTGGCCACTGTAACATTTTGCCCCTGTTCCCATGGTTGTGAGAATAAATTATGGGCACTTGGCAACTGGCTCCCTTTTATGACCAGTTCCATGATCTTGCAGCCACAAGATCACAACGTGCAACATTTTTGTCAGTTTTCTGCAGAAAATGCAAACTTGAAAGAATACATTGACTTAAGATTGCAGTGACTTGTTTAATGACCACACAAATGTCGTAAAATCATATCCAATCATATGGGTGCCTCGACGGATGACTGTATAAAGTTACAACCACAAATCTGTTCCCATTTCCACCATAAGTTGAGGACTAGCAGCACTCTGCAAAACTTAATCTACCTTTCCTAATACTCTTTCCGACACAAGAGAAGTCTTTTCTCTTGTGTCATCGTTCTGGTAAGTTACTAGTCCTGCACTTTTGTCAGCCAAACCTCCTTGCACTCCCAACACTTAATGCCCTTTTGCTTTATTATCTACTCCCTGATTGTATGCAAGGTTATGTGACTAGAAAAACATTTTCCCCACAGCAAACAATTGTACGATTTCCCCTCTGTGACTGTGTGAAGTTCATGATGAACGGTAAGGTGTGAGTTTAAAAAAAAATGTTTCCCGCATTGTTCACGACTGAGGAGATTTATCTCTGCTATGGACTTCCTGATGCCTTTTAAGCTTCGATTTACAATGGAGAGTTTTTCTAACACTCTGCACACTTGTGAGGCCTCTCTCCTGTGTGAGTTCTGGTGTGCGTGCAAAGTGCTGAAGGTTGGGCAAAATATTTCCCGCATTCCAGACATTTATATGGTTTTTCTCCCGTGTGGATTCGCTGATGCTTCAAGAGAGTAAATTTCCGGGAAAAGCATTTATCGCACTCCGAGCATTTATGGGGCTTCTCTCCTGTGTGGATTCGGCTGTGGCTTCTGAGGGTAGATGACCGAGCAAATGCTCTCCCACAGTCTAAACATTTGTAGCTTTTCTCCCCCGTGTGAATTTTTATATGGATTTTAAGGGCTGATGCGGTGCTATAAAATCTTCCACATTCGTTGCATTGATATGGCTTCTCCCCTCTGTGGGTTTTATGATGGCTCCAAAGGTTCCCCTGGTGTCCAAAACATTTCCCACATTCTAGGCATCTGTACGGCTTCTCTCCTGTGTGGACCCTCTGATGGCTTCCAAGGTTTTGTTTTTGGGAAAAGCATCTACCGCACTCCATACATCTGTATGGCTTCTCCCCTGTGTGTATTCTCTCATGAATATGAAGCTCTCTTTGTGTAAGAAAATCTTTCCCACATTCCCCACAATTATAGGGTTTCTCCCTTTTGTGCTCCTTCTGGTGCCTCCGAAACGGAGAATGAAACATAAATCGTCTCTCACATTCTGGGCATTCAAAGGGTCTCTCTCCAGTGTGAACTCGCTGATGTCGGACCAGGTTTGATTTCGTGGAAAAACATTTTCCGCATTCGAGGCACTTTTCGTTTTTCTCCCCTCTGTGTGTTTTCTCATGAGTCCGAAGACCTGAACTCTGGGTGAAACATTTCCCACACTCAAAGCATTTGTAAGGTTTTATTCCTGCATGAATTTTCTCATGGCGCCAAAGATATGAATTCCAAGAAAAGCTCTTCCCACATTCCCAACATTTGTAAGGTTTCTCCCCTGTGTGAATTCTCTCGTGGATTCTGAGGGTGGCTTTGTCACGGAAAAATTTACCACATTTCAGACACTGATCAGGTTTCTCTCCAGTGTGGATTTTCTGATGTCTAAGAAGGTCTGACTTTTGACCAAAGCATAAATCACATTCCTCACATTTATGGGGTTTTAATCTGGCGGGGCTTTTGGGATCTTTGGGATCTTTTCCAGAGAAGGATTTCTCATCCTCCAAACCTTGACTGGATCCGCTTCCCACATGGACCTTCCTGTGGGTCAAAAGGAGGGATCTGCGAGCAAAGGACATCCCACACTCTGAGCATTCATGGATTCTTTTGTGGTTTTCCGGAGTGCTGCTTGTGTCTGACGGGGGATCCGAGAGTTTCCCAGGCTCCATCCTGTATTTCTGTTGATTGTTAGCTTGCAGATAAATCTTTGGAAACAATATTTTATTTCTGTTAAAAAAAATAGAAATGAAGAATAATATTTCCTTTTGAGAAAGGTAGACAATCACAGGCTACTCATCGTGAAAAGGACCATGGAGGTCTTCCAGTCTGACCCTCTTCAGTACACCCCAGAGAAAATCTCCATTGATTTTGTCCCCCCACATCTCTCAGATGCAACCCCTTCCTGCTGTTCATTGTCTCTACCCTTCCCTCCTCCTTGGTTCTTGTCCTACGACAAAGTGAAACAGAAGCTCTGAAGCTAGAGGTAGTCCTCAATTTATGAATACAATTGGGGCTGCAATCTTGGTTGTTCAGTGAAGCGGCAGTCAAGTGAGAGGCCACGTGGCCACTTCACTCCCCAAACGTAATCCCACAGTCCTGGTTGGGATCATAAAGTGATCCTGAGCGTTGTTAAGTGGAGGGAGGGAGGCCAGCCAATCACTGTGAGGGTTTCTAAGGGCTGGGGATGGCCTGGAGATGAGGCATATGCCACCCATGAATTGGGGGGCTATTGAAGTGGGATTCAAAGGTGCAGCCATTCCTGGAAGCCTGACCCCCCCAGGCTTGGGCATGCAAAGAAGACCTGATTGACAACAATGCTGGAGCTGGGCCTTAAATGGAAGCCTGGGGCCTTCAGCAGGTTCAGCCAGCTCCAGGCCTGGACTTCAGCCCAGCACTACCCCGTCACTGAGAAACGGGGGCTTAATCCCCAGACTGGAGGCCTCGGCAACCTTGGGCCATTCTCCAAGCCGCATGTTTCATACTGTTGCTAAACAACGTGTCCCAAAACATCTCCAAGCTTCTCCAGGACCCCCTCAAGTCACACGTGGCCTGTGCCAGGACTCACAGGGCCTCTACTGCTCACTTCAGACAACCCTTATCTGGAACTTCAACCCTTATCTGGAACTTTGTCTACTTGTGAAATAGCTTAACAACCACAAAAATGAATGCAGGATTGCAGTCGTTGAGTAAAGTGGTCATAGGATATCTCACTTAATGAAAGCTTCTCTCAGAGGCTGAGATTCTGGACTGAATTGTGGTCATAATAAGAGGAGTACCTAGAGGGAATCCCCCAAAATTAAGGCATTGCATAAGGAAAAGAAGAGGCACCATGGACCAGTACTGTGGACAGAGGTTATTCCGTGGCCCAGTGGGGTACGGTTTTGTGTGCTTCCTGCATCCCGCAGACAGGGCTTTGCTTGTTTGTGCGGCCCAGTTTCTGGCATCCTGTGGCCTCTGCCAGCCAACAGACTGGGGGCTGGGAAACCCTGGGGTAAGCGATCCATTTCTTATTCCCTTTTCTTTCTTTTTCTGATTTTTTTACATCATGATGTCTTGATCCTCATTTCTTTGCGACCCATTTTATAGATTTTATAAGATACTACAAAAAGGGGGGAAATGGATGCGGAAAATTATAGACCAATGAGCCTGACATCAATACATGGAAAGATCCTGGAAAAAATAATCAAGCAAGGAATCTGTGAACATTTAGAATCCAGCAAAGCTCTTAGCAGAAGCCAACATGGGTCTTCCAAAAGCAGATCGCGCCAGACAAAACTTACTGTATTCTTTGACAAAGTGACTAAAATAGTGAACAGCGTAACTCTGAAGGCATATTTATTTATTTATTTATTTATTTATGAGACTTATATACCGCTTTAAGTGCAAGCACCATATATATATATATATATATATATATATATATATATATATATATATATATATATATATATAGGTCTTGGGTTGTTCGGGTTTTCTCCCACGTAAAATTGGAAGTGTCTTGGCGACGTTTCGACGAAGGTCATCTTCAGGCTAGCTTTTTAATCATTTGACTCTTCGTCGAAACGTTGCCACACTTCCAATTTTACGCGGGACCCGAACAACCAAAGACCTATATACAAATACCCGCGACAGGGTTCATATTTTTAATTTTCTCAAACACACACACACACATATATATATATATATATATATGCCCCCAACAATCTGGGTCCTCATTTTACCTACCCCGGAAGGATGGAAGGCTGAGTCAACCTTGAGCCGGTGAGATTTGAACCGCTGACCTGCTGAACACAGTCAGCTAAAGTGGCCTGCAGTACTGCACTCTAACTGCTGCGCCACCTCGGCTCATCAATATTATACCTTGACTTCAGTAAGGCGTGTGACCAAGTAGGCCAGAAACCACTTCTTCATAAGATAAAAAAATGCTGGATAGACAGCATCACTAGATGGATTCAGAACTCGCTGACCAAGAGCACTCAACATGTGGTCTTTAACAGAACTACGTTATGCCTTCATCCAGCATCTTGGGACAAAACTCAATTTTTCTACCTTGCTGTTTTCTCAAATAAACAATTTAAAAATAAATGATTACTCTCCAAACCAAGAGTTAATTGACATTTGTTTACTCACCGTTATCACTGCAGCTAAGAGGCCTCTAGGTCACCTATTACACCCTCTGACTCAAGGCCAGGAATGACCCTCACTGCTGATCAGTTTGATTTCGCCTTAATCAATTGGCCCTTTGTGCAGGAAGCTGCTTCTCCAACTGGACCACGATTTCCACATTCTCTAGAATGGAGTCCTGGCCAAAGATTTGTGGGTCTCGATCCAAGAACGTTCTTTCTCCTCTGCGGAGCTAACGTCCACATCCTCACTGGTGTCTTGCAAAGAGAAAGGAAAAGGGCTCAGATGCCGACAGTAATGCTGAACATAATCTATAAATGACCTGGAGTTGGGAAGAGAAAATAGGATTATTTGTTATTGATACAAAATGATGGGGATAGAATCCTGATTCAAGATCTCGATGGGCCAAAATGGAAGAAACAGCAAGATGAAGTCCAACAGGGACCGATGCAGAGTTGTGAGTAGGAAAACTCAAAGGAAGATAAGAGAGAGAGATCAGATGGGGCAGAGCAGTTTCCCCGCTCTTTTGGGAGGCTTGAAGGCTATAAACATTCCAGGTAGGCGTTTTGAGAAATATTTACAATTGTGAAAGGCAGCCTTTTAGCCATCAGCTTCTTTTATTATCTACTCACAAGAACAGCCCCAAAACTCGAAGACAGATGAGAGAGATCACATGGGGCAGAGCATGTGGGAAAAGGGCTGGTCTTTCTTCCAGACAGGTGTTTCAAAAATATGTACAATTAGGAAAAGCAGCCTTTTTGCCATCGGTTTGTTTTTTCTTAACCTGCTTACAAGACCAGCCTTAAAACCTCCTTTGTAAAACATCCACCAAGAAGGGGATGCGACATCATAGCGCAGTGATGGCAAACCTTTTAGAGACCGAGTGCCCAAACTGCAACCCAAAACCCACTTATGCATTGTCGGGTGCCGGGTGGGTAAGGCCCATTGGGTGGACGTGGCCCATTGGCTGGGCGTGGCTGCGGTGGTAACGGCAGACTGGGTGGGACTAAAAAGTTTAATCAATCAATTCCAACTTTGCAAGATCTTTTTTTTTCCCACGAGAAGTTGAAATTGACTGATTGAACCTTTTTTTTTTTTCACACGGCGGCGGAGACCTAAAGCAAAAAGGTTTTATAAAACCCAGCTGAAGGCCTAGGACTGGGGCAACGATGTGCATGCCCACGGAGAGGGCTCTGAGTGCTGCCTCTGGCACCCGTGCCATAGGTTCACCACTACTGTCAAAGCATCTTCTGAGAAAAACTATGTGAGGAATAAAATTTTAGAATATAAATGAAGTTAAGTGACATGTAGGCTGTAAGATTTCTACACGTAGGCTGTAAGATTTCTACATGTTAAGTTATAGGATTTCCACACTAAGCTGTAGGATTTTCTGGTTCGTGGTAAAGTACATATAAGGGAATAGGAGAAGCAAAATAGTAAGGGGCAGAGATAATGTATTTTGTTTAGGCAATCCTGATAAGATTGTAACCTCTAAAGCTCAGCCAATGAAGCCACAGAGGAAGGCTTCATCCTGATAGAGCAGTGGTTCTCAACCTGTGGGTCGGGACCCCATTTGGGGTCGAACGACCATTTCATAGGGGTCGCCAAACGAGGCTGTCCGCCATTTTTTTCCCCTTTTCTTTGGCCACACCCCTGGCACCCAGTGATGTGTAAGTGGTTGGGGGTCACCACAACATGGGGAATTGTATTATGGGGTCGCGGCATTAGAAAGGTTGAGAACCACTGTGATAGAGTGTATAAAATGTGTGTTTTTACTGTAACAAGGTGTGGCTCAAATATTTATTTGGAGTCCACCATGCTTTGCAAACCGTTGTATCCAATAAATCTCTATTTAATTTCAACTTGCTGTTTGGTGTTATTCAGCGAGCAAGAATTTCTGCCAACAGCTAGGAAAATACAAAGTTTAGAAATTCTACCCACGTTTTAAAAACTGAAGCAAAATAAAGAATAGCATAACAACAAAGGATTTTGTTTTTCGCCTTTTAGACAGAGAACAAAGAAAGAGGCATAAGGCAACATGAGCTCAATGCAACTAATTTAAACTTCTTTTTCTTTCCCCCGAAACCCTCCCCTCCCCGTTGCAATGAGGTCAGTTTGCGTTAAGATCCCATTGCGAATCTCTATACATGTTTTAAAGCTCCGTTTACTCCATTTTTTCGACCACAATTGAGGGATATGCATGTTCAGAGACCTCCTGCTCGGATCCACCACAGAGAGACCTTCTGGAGCAATGTTTCTCAACCTTGACAATTTTAAGGCACGTGGACTTCAACTCCCAGAATTCCACAGCCAGCATTGCTGGCTGTGGAATTCTGGGAGTTGAAGTCCACGTGCCTTAAAATTGTCAAGGTTGAGAAACACTGTAATCTGGAGCAATTTCCACAAAGCTCCTTCCCGGATCCACCCGGAGAGCCTCGGAGGGGGCAGATCCAGCCCGGGGAGAGAGGGATCCCCCTTTGCCCCCCCAGAGGGAAGGGAGGGATCCGCTCCCTGCAGGCGACGCCAGAGCCGAATCTCCCCAAGGAAAACCCGGCAAGCCGAAGAGGCGGATCCGCAGCTACCTTTCTCCTGGCGGGGGGGGAAGCTCTCCTGGCGGGAGGGGCGCCCCAAAGGCCGGAGGGGGAGCAGCCAGACCTCCCCGAAGTAAGACCCAGAAGCCTCTGCCGAGGGATCCGGCGCCGATCCTCCCAGGGCGAAGCGAGACACACGGAGAGAAGCGGCGATCCAGCGAGTTGGGCGGGGAGACGCGGGGGCGGGGCTTCTGCCCTCCTCTCGAGCTTCGCTTCCGCTTGGTAGCCCCGCCTCTTGTCAGCCTCTTCTCCTTCCCCCCCCTCCCAGCCAGGATCACGTGCTCCGAAACTTCCTCTGCTCCTCCGATGGGCGCCGGTGTCGAGGTTTCCTCTGCCCATGGGAAGAGCGTCCCTCTCTGCTCGCTGGAAGCGCGGCAGCTCTTCCTACTCCAGCGTGCTGGCTTGTGTCAGGCTAGGTAGATGCCAAAATAAGAGATGCCTTTTTTAGGGCTTTTTTTTTTTTTTAGGATCTCCTTATAATGTGCCGGTAACGAGATGCAAGTTGCAGTGACTTTTTTGGGTACCTGCTACGAGACTTTTTGAAACTCAAATACTTTGGCCACCTAATGAGCAGGAAGGACTCCCTGGAGAAGGGCCTAATGCTGGAAAAGATTGAGGGCAAGAGAAGAAGGGGACGACAGAGAATGAGGTGGCTGGATGGAGTCCCTGAAGCAGTAGGTGTGAACTTAAATGGACTCCAGAAGATGGTAGAGGACAGGAAGACCTGGAGGAACGTTGTCCATGGGGTCGCGATGGGTCGGGCACGACTTCGCAATTAACAACAACAACAACGAGACTTTATTATTGATCTTTCCTCCCAACTGGATGGTTCCTATTTAATTGAAGGCTCCGAGTTTTTAATTCAGATACCTTCACCTCTTACTGTGATCTGTAACAGCCGCTGGTGCAGGGGCTGCATGATGACTCTCGTCCTGGGAATTTAAATTGGGTGGGTGGGTGGTCTCTTAAGACCATGAGCATGGCGGAGGAGGGATGGAGGAGGTTCCTGCAGTCTCAGACTTTTGGGGTTGCCCATCTCCCAATCCCCAGAGCTCCCGGGACAGGAAAGAGGAGAGTTTGGGGGAGCAGCCCAGATCTGGTGATTGTTCTCATAGGGGCAATGCAGGCATTGCAGCTCAGCAGCTGAGAGGGGAAAACAGGCCTGGAAAGGCTGCTAAGCCTGATTGCAGAGTAAAAGTAATTTTATATTTTTTTTACTTTTATTATTTATAATCCGCCTGCATTTGATTCTCGAATTACTCAAAGCAATGAATGTATCCAACATACTTTCCTTCCCCTATATTCCTCACAACCACCCTGTGGGGTGGGCCATGTAAGAAACACCCTCAGCCAAGAATTTGACAACAGTCTTTAGGTGAAAGAGCAAGCTGTTTATTGAAAAATACTTTCTTGCAAGAGCGGGTGGCTAGCAAGTAGGCACACCCGAAAATCGGTTTCTGCAGCATTTATTCCCGAAGCACAAAGCCTTCCCTTACAATCCCGTGTGACAAAGACCACAAGGTTCATAGCCTTTCCGGAATACCTAGTTCCCTTGTACATTTCCCTTGTTTACTCTCCACCCCATGCCCAATTCCCCTTTTCCATGTATTGCCTTCACCTGGCAAGACATGCAATTTTACTTAACCCCCAGTTCCCGTTTTCTAAAGATTCCTGCTGAAAGGAGTGGTTGCTTCCTATATTTGCAAGCTCCTGTGGTTCATATCGCCAGCTAGCCTGTTTCTATCTGTAGACTTAGGTCCAAGACTGCAGACATTTCCTGTCCTCTTAACCTTAATTTTTTTTTTTTGGTATTTTGGATTGACAGGGATAGGCAAGAACAATATTATATTGACCAAAGTCACACTTCTTGTGACTTACAGTGTATGTCCTAAGTAAGATGTGGTCCCTTTAATCACAAGTGTGTCAGGCACGTGTAGATACGATCTTTCATTGAGGCCCTTAAGAGCAGGGGTCCATCCAAATAATCAAGATATTTAACCTAAAGTTCCTCCAAAATCCACCTTTTTCAATTCAACCCTAGAAATCAGAAGTGTCCAGCGAGGGAGGATGGAATCACAAAAGTCAAGATGGAGACTGTTTTAAAGGGCACCATACACACAGCTAAAAAGTTTTTCAAAAACACCCACACACAAACAATAACATGCCCTGAAAACAGTTCTCTTGGTTATTTTGAACAATGGTTTTATTAAGGATTATATTCACAGATCCAACAAAAAAACAACACCAGTATGTATGTGGGTGAATATGCTGTATGTGTGTGAAACCACGAAAAAGACAATGTGGAAAAAGGGGACGCCAATCAAGCGAAGAAAGATAGGTAACCCTTGAGGTACTACAGGCGATTTAACGAATGTTCGAAGTTACAACATATACCCCAAAAGCTAAATCCGAATCCATTTCAAAGTTACAAACTCTGCACAGTCATTCACCCGTACAACTGACCGCAAAGATGCTGCAGCACTCACCTATTACCCTGCCATCTTGTTCAGCCAGGTCTTCTGAGCAAGGCACTGGGCATGCCTGGCCAACATGCTGGGTTCCCCAATTCCCCCGTCACCATTCGCTTACTTACCTTTTGACGAGCTCAGGAAGTCAGGGCAGAGAAGGCTGCTCCCTTGCTGGGCCCCGTGGCCCAATCAAGAAGAACAAATCCAGTCACTTCTGCTTCCGTTGGAAACCTTTCCTCTCCAGCCAGCATTAACCGGTGGGATTTCTTCTTGGCGCTGCCAGCTCTACCTTTATGCGAGTGCCAGGGGTAGGCCACCTTGGCTCTTTTATGACTCGTGGACTTCAACTCCCAGAATTCCTGAGCCAGCCATGCTGAGGGGAAAGGGAGAGGTTTCCATGCTGAGCCATGCTGGCTCAGGAACTCTGGGAGTTGAAGTCCACGAGTCATAAAAGACCCGAGGTTGCCTACCCCTGCCCTAGCAGCCATGCTGGCTGGGGAATTCTGGGAGTTGAAGTCCACAAGTCATAAAATGTGAGGGAAGGGAGAGGACCAGTTGTAAATGATTTTTTTCAGCGCCGTTTTAATTTCAAATGGAGACTAAGCAAATGGCTGTCATTTGAGGACCACCTGTATTATGCTCAATGCCAGGGGTGGGCAACCTTGGCTCTTTTACGACTCAACTCCCAGAATTCCTGAGCCAGCCTGGCTCAGCTTGGAAACCTCTCCCTTTCCCCTCAGCGTGGCTGGCTCAGGAATTCTGGGAGTTGAAGTCCACGAGTCATAGAAGAGCCAAGGTTGCCTACCCCTGTGCTAGTCTTACGCTGGTAGCGCTAAGAAATTGCGGCCATTTTGCTTCCGTCGCAAGCCTTTTCTCTCCAGTCAGCATTAACCGCCATCATTTCTTCTTAGTTCGGCCAGCGTTAAGGTGAGCTGCTAACGCTGGCTGAGCTAAAAAGAAATTGCACCGATTAATGCTGGCTGGAGAGGAAAGGCTTGCAAAGGAAGCAAAAGTGACAGGATTTCTTCAGGAAGGGACCCAGGGCAGAAAACATCCTGCAGCCAAGAGGGCTCCACATACATTTGCATTACTCAGGTAACCCTGAGAACACAGGTAAACCTCCAAATGGCCCCAATGACTCTCTAAAACAGAGGTCTTCAAACTTGGCCCTTTTACGACTTCTGGACTTCAACTCCCAGAATTTCTCAGATAGCCAGGCTGGCTGACTGAGGAATTCTGGGAGTTGAAGTCCACAAGTCATAAAAGGGCCAAGTTTGAAGACCCCCTGCTCTAAAAGAAGGCAAATGACCAGCTGTCTGCAAGGAATATCAGTCCATCCAACCTCCACCATTCGGTGAGAACTGAAGAAGCTTCCTGGATGGGAAGCGAAACAAATTCAAAGAAAAACAAGAAAGTCCAGTTGACTCCTGAAAAAGCACCTTTGGTTCAACATTAACACTATCACTGATGATATCTTTGTTCTACCCCTCCCCCCATTTTCTCCTCTCTGAATCTTCAGTTCTCCTCACTGACCAACAAACGGTTAGTAAGAATTAACAAAAATGCCTGGGTGCCTTGATTTAGGACTGTAAGCAATGTATGACTGGAAATCCATTCCAAGTTGTGGCCATAACTTTAGGACTACCTGTATTCTGCAAAACATTATACATACTCCCACACTATTATGACTCTTTTGTGTAATCACTCTGGCAAGTTACTAAAGCTGCTTTGTGAGGAAAACATTCTCACACCCCCAACACTTACGCCCTTTTGCCTCATTGTGTACTCTCTCCTAGTATTTGAGGTTGCTTCACTAGAAAAAAACACTTTCCCCACACCAAACAGTTGTAGGATTTCCCTTCTGGGACTCTTTGAAGGTCCTGGTGAATGGTAAGGTGTGACTTCTGGAAAAAAAAAGTTCCCTCATTGTTCACAACTGAAAGGGTAGAGATCTCTGCTATGGACATTCTGATGCATTTTTAGCTTTGATTTACAATGGAAAGTTTTTCTCACACTCTGCACACTTGTGAGGCCTCTCTCCTGTGTGAGTTCTGGTGTGCGTGCAAAGCACTGAAGGTTGGGCAAAACATTTTCCGCATTCCAGACATTTATGTTTTTTCTCCCCTGTGGATTTGCTGATGCTTCAAAAGAGTACATTTCCGGGAAAAGCATTTATCGCACTCCGAGCATTTATGGGGCTTCTCTCCTGTGTGGATTCGGCTGTGGCTTCTGAGGGTACCTGACCGAGCAAATGCTCTCCCACAGTCTAAACATTTGTAGTTTTTCTCCCCTGTGTGAACTTTCACGTGATGTCTGAGGGTTGATTTCATGCGAAAAAATGTTCCACACTCAAGGCACTGAAAGGGCTTCTCCCCCGTGTGAATTTGCTGATGTTTCCAAAGTACCTCCTTATAACCAAAAGATTTCCCACATTCTACGCATCTGTACGGCTTCTCTCCTGTGTGGACCCTCTGATGGCTTCCAAGGTGGCATTTTTGGGAAAAGCATTTCCCACACTCCCCACATTTGTATGGTTTCTCCCCTGTGTGGATTCTCTGATGAATCTGAAGATGGGTTGGTGTAATAAAACTTTTCCCACACTCCCCACATTTATAGGGTAGCTCTCCTTGGTGCCATTCCTGGTGTCTTTGAAGTTGAGAAGAATTTACAAATTGTTTCTCACATTCTGGGCATTCGTAGGGTCTGTCGATATTGTGAAGACTTTGATGTCGCACCAGGTTTGATTTCAAGGTAAAACATCTCCCACATTCGAGGCACATTTCCTTCCTCTCCCCTGTGTGTGTTTTCCAGTGATTCCGAAGAGTTGAACTCAGGGTGAAACCTTTTCCACACTCAAAGCATTTGTAAGGTTTTATTCCTGCATGGATCTTCTCGTGGACCCAAAGATCTGACTTCCGAGGAAAGCTCTTCCCACATTGCCAACACTTGTAAGGTTTCTCCCCTGTGTGACTTCTCTCGTGCTCTCTGAGATAGGCTTTTTTACTGAAAGATTTCCCACATTCCAGACACTGATAAGGTTTCTCTCCAGTGTGGATTTTCTGATGTGTCAGAAGGTGTGACCTTTGATCAAAGTATAAGTCACATTCCTCATATTTATGGAATTTTAGTCTGGGGGGGCTTCCGAGATCTTTGGCATCTTTTCCAGAGAAGAATTTCTCACCCTCCAAACCTTCACTGGATCCACTTCCCTCATGGACCTTCCTGTGGGTCAAAAGGAGGGACCGGCAAGCAAAAGATTTCCCACTCTCTGAGCATTCATGGGTTTTTTTGTGGCTTTTCAGAGTGCTGCTTGTGTCTGACGAGGGATCCAAGAGTTTCCCACGCTGCATGGTTTCAACTGGTTGCTGGCTTGTGCTGATTTTCTACTGCCTGTTGATAGTTGACTTCCAGGTCAATCTTTGGTCACAATCTTTTAACCACTGTGAGATGGGGGAAAAAAAGCATTTTGTTTTGAATAACAAAGAATCACAAAATCTTAGCCTTGGAAGGGATCGTGAAGGTCTTCCAGTTCCACCCTCTGCCCAGGGCAGGGGTCCACAATACACCCTAGATTAGGGGTAGGCCACCTTGGTTTTTTATGACTCGTGGACTTCAACTCCCAGAATTCCTGAGCCAGCATGGCTCAGCTTAGAAACCTCTCCCTTTCCCCTCAGCTTGGCTGGCTCAGGAATTCTGGGAGTTGAAGTCCACGCGTTATAAAAGAGCCAAGATGGCCTACACCTGCCCTAGGCTATATAAATAACACTTAGAATAGCCCTTAGACCAGGGGTAGGCAACCTTGGCTCTTTTATGACTCCTGGACTTCAACTCCCAGAATTCCTGAGCCAGCGTGGCTCAGCTTGGAAACCTCTCCCCTTCCTTTCAGCATGGCTGGCTCAGGAATTCTGGGAGTTGAAGTCCACCAGTCATAAAAGAGCCAAGGTGGCCTAGCCCTGCCCTAGATAAAATCTGCCCCCACATCTCTAAGAGGCAAACTCTTCTGTTGTTCACTGACTCTAACTTTCCTTCTTGGTTCTTGTCCTATGACAAGGAGAAAAAAAAAGCTTTGAAACTAGATAGTCCTTGACTGGAATTTTGGCTGTTTAGTGAAGCAGTTGTTAGGTGATGCGGTCATGTGACCGCTTTGCTCAACAACTGTAATCCCACACCTAGTTCCAGTCATTAAGTGACCTTGAGGGTTCTTAAGTGAAGGCCGGCACAGGCAAGAGCTGTGGGGGTGCCTCGGTGGTAGTGGTGCTCCTGGATATCTAGCACAAACCACCCAGGAGTTGGGGGGGTGCTGAAGTTGGATGCAAAGGTGCAGCCACCCCTGGAAGCCCCAGTTGGGCCCTATAATGTTGCAGTAAATTCGTTGCTAGCTGGAGAATTTTGGGAGTTGAAGTCCACACATCGTAAAAGTTGCCAAGGTTGAGAAACACTGTATTAAGTGGAGGCCTGGGGCCTTCCGCTATTTCAGCCAGCTGCTACTGACCCCAAGCCTGGACTTCAGCCCAGTGTCAATGCTGCAACAGAGAAATGCAGCCTTCATCTGTGAGAGGGGTCTCAAGAGCCCTAGTGGACAATCACTTAAATATGAGCCAGTTGTGTGCTGCAGCTGCCAAAAAAGCCAACACAGTGCTAAGCTGTATTAACAGAGGGATAGAATCAAGATCGCGTGAAGTGTTAATGTGACTTTACAATGCCTTGGTAAGGCCACACTTGGAATACTGCATCCAGTTTTGGTCACCACGATGTAAAAAAGATGTTGAGACCCTAGAACAGTGGTTCTCAACCTGTGGGTCGGGACCCCATTTGGGGTCAAACGACCATTTCACGGGGGTCGCCAAACAACGCAGTCCGCCATTTTTTTCCCTTTTCCCTAGCTGTCCTACTCCCTCTTATTGGTGGCCACACCCACTTGGGGGTCACCACAACATGGGGAACTGTTTTATGGGGTCACGGCATTAGAAAGGTTGAGAACTACTGCCCTAGAAAGAGTACAGAGAAGAGCAACAAAGATGATCAGGGGACTGGAGGCTAAAGCATATGAGGACCGGTTGCTGGAATTGGGTATGTCTACTTTAATGAAGAGAAGGATGAGGGGAGACATGATAGCAGTCTTCCAGTATCTCAGGGACTGCCCCAAAGAAGAGGGAGTCAAGCTATTCTCCAAAGCGCCTGAAAGCAGGACAAGAAGCAACAGATGGAAACTAAGCAAGGAGAGAAGCAACCTAGAACTAAGGAGAAACTTCCTGACAGTTAGAACAATTAACCAATGGAACAACCTGCCTCCAGAAGTGGTGAATGCTCCAACACTCCAGCAAAGCCTCCGCTTTTATACACAGGTTCTTAAAGGGACACAGACTCCTGCTGAGTCATTCCTATCATTGCATCATCCACCTTACCTTACCTTACCTTACATCATTACATAAGCTGTTTAGCTATTAAAGTGTTACCCGGACATAAATAAATGGATTTTTAGAGATTCTACCCGCTTTTGCCAAAGGAAAGCAAGTGAAAGCAAAGAATATTCACTTTTTCTCTCTTTTTTAGATTTAAGAACAAAGTGTTCCAATATCTCAGGGGCTGCCCCAAAGAAGAGGGAGTCAAGCTATTCTCCAAAGCACCTGAAGGCAGAACAAGAAGCAGCTGATGGAAACTGCTGAAGGAGAGAAGCAACCTAGAACTAAGGAGAAACTTCCTGACAGTGAGAACAATTAACCAATGGAACAACCTGCCTCCAGAAGCTGTGAATGCTCCAACACGGGAAGTTTTTAAGAAGAGACTGGACAGCCATTTGTCCGAGATGGTATAGGGTTTCCTGCCTGAGCAGGGGGTTGGACTCGGTGACCTCCAAGGTCCCTTCCAACATCATCATCATCATCATCATTATTATTTTTTCCGGGTTGGTAGAATATGAGCTCAGTTCAAGCCAGTTAACTTTTTTTTAAAGAATTCTCCCCAATTGAAAGAAGTCGAGCATTTCTTTCCATTGCACTATAATCTCTCCCCCCCCCAAAAAAAACCTTTTAAAAAGCCCCCTTTCCCTCCATTTAGCGCAGTGTTTCTCAACCTTGACAATTTTAAGGCATGTGGACTTCAATTCCCAGAATTCCACAGCCAGCGTTGCTGGCTGTGGAATTCTGGGAATTGAAGTCCACATGCCTTAAAATTGTCAAGGTTGAGAAACACTGAATTTTTAGCGAGTCTGCCTCTTGTTTCCAGAGACGCCCAGTCCAGTCCAGTGCCATCTATTCACCCGGGATCCTCGCATGTTCAGGGGACCCTCTTGGGAACCGGGGCCGAGGGGAGACTCAGAGCTACCTTTCTCCTTGCAAGGAAAAGCCCTCCTGGCTGGAGGGGACGGGAGGGGAAGCAGCCTCGCCAGTCGGAAGCGGGACCGATCAAACCTCTCCCGGCGCGTCCATCGCCGAGCCTGAGCGGAGAACAGCGCGTGCTCAGACGCAGCCGTGAGGCGGGGGCGGGGCTTTTGGGCCCCGCCTTCCCCAAGTAACCACGCCCCTTGCTGTCAGCAAGTATTTGTTTTTTTTTCCTGCCTGGGAACGTTGCCTCGCAGCAGGGAAAAGCTTGGATTCAGTGTTGGCCCCGCCCATTGGATCCCTTCCCCCCCCCCTCCCCCAACCTTCTAAACGGGATTTTCCTTTGGGTCGCTTTTCATTTTTCCTTTGCAGAGACCAGAGACCTTGGAAAGAGGTGGTTTTACAAGTTGGGGGTGCTATAGGCCAGGGGTAGGCAACCTTGGCTCTTTTATGACTGATGGACTTCAACTCCCAGAATTCCTGAGCCAGCCTGGCTCAGCTTGGAAACCTCTCCCTTTCCCCTCAGCATGGCTGGCTCAGGAATTCTGGGAGTTGAAGTCCACGAGTTACAAAAGAGCCAAGATGGCCTACACCTGCCCTAGGCTATATAAATAACACTTAGAATAGCCCTTAGACCAGGGGTAGGCAACCTTGGCTCTTTTATGACTCGTGGACTTCAACTCCCAGAATTCCTGAGCCAGCCTGGCTCAGCTTGGAAACCTCTCCCTTTCCCCTCAGCATGGCTGGCTCAGGAATTCTGGGAGTTGAAGTCCACCAGTCATAAAAAGAGCCAAGGTTGCTTACCCCTAGTATAGGGCAGGGGTCTTCAAACTTGGCCCTTTTATGACTTGTGGACTTCAACTCCCAGGATTCCTCAGCCAGGCGCAGGATTCCTCAGCCAGGCGCCCCCCAACCCCGCCCAGATGCCCCCGCCTCTCCCAAGCGTTTTTTTTTTTTTTACTAACCTGCATTTCAGCTGCATTCAGTTTCTCCATTGGCTTCTCCATTGGTGGGAGAGAAAGGGAGAGGGAAAGAGAAATAGAGGGAGAGAGAGATTAAATTAGTAACCTGGGTGTTAAGTGAATGTGGTTTCCCCACTAACTTTGCTTGTCAGAAGGTTGCAAAAGGCGATCACATGACTTTGGAACAATGTGACCATCATAAATATGAATCGGTTGCAAAGCATCCGAATGTAAATCACATGACCCTGGGGATGCTGCAACGGTCATAAGTGTGAAAAATGGTCATAAGTCACTTTTTTTCAGTGCCGTTGTAACTTTGAACGGTCACTAAGCAAACTGTTGTAAGTCAAGGACTACCTATACTGTATCATTTTCCATTTATTTATTATTTTTGGTCATCAAGTTTTTGACACGTTGCTAGGTGACTGGTGGTACTCGAATGTTGCCATATTCTAAAAGTGGTACAATCGGTGAAAAGGTTGAAAAGCCCTGTTGTAGTCTAGCCCCCTGCTCAAGCAGGAGTCTTGTGGAAAAATAAAGCCTTAAAAAAATAAAGGGCCTTTACGAAATTCCATGGGTGAAAGAGAGATCTTTATTTTTGCGCAAAAAGGTTCAGAAGTGATTTAACAATCAGCAAATTTCTGAACAAGGGGGAGGGTCTAAACTAAAGCTTTATAGGTTTCTTTTTCTCAGGAACAAAGGAAGCATAGATGGAATCTTACATTGTATATTGAATCTATTTTGTGTAACATTCAAATAGTTTCTCACACGTTAGGTCCATTTCTCATGGGAATATAATGAAGGCAGTTTTTACTTTTATACAATGTTTCTAAATATGCATTAGGTCATTCATGTACTGTTAATACAGCTTTTGGCCAACACAGCTTTCTTTCAGAGATTATGCAGACACATGATTTTTGCTTTTAGTGATTTTTCATTATTATTATTATTATTTTACTTTATTCTTCTTTATTCTATGTTATTCTATTTCTTTCCCACTTTACTCCCCCCTTTTGGAAGTTTTCCAGCTTAAACTTCCATTATTCTACCTCTGATTCCGGATCTCCTGAAGGTACCATTTTATATTCCCATAAGGCTAACATTGTTTCATGTTTCGCTGTTAATTGGGCTGTACTTTCTGAGATCCTCCGAATCATGGCTATAAGACAGGGGATCAAGCAAGGAATTAAAATACACCCTAGAATTAACAAGACTTGCAGGCCTATAAACCTTCATAGTTATAGCAGCCTTGTTAATTCCAAGATCCATAGTAGTGGTCTCATTGGTTCCAGACCACCATTTACCATCTTCCCATGTCCCTGTGCATAGGAGGTCACCTACTGCTACACAAGATTCTGTTTTGTTTCTTGAGTAACATACATGTCCTACCAAGTTGGAAGTGAGACCCCAATCACCATCTTTCCCACTTGTATAGGTTAAATTATTATTTTTAGACATTTCTAGTACCTTGGTATAATTTAACTCTTGTGCCTCCCATGGCCACCTTTCTCCCATGTTTGTTCCACCACACACAAAACAGTTAGACACGCCTAAAGTATGGGCAATGTCTTCTGCTAACTTAACAAAGGTATTGGTTACATGTCTAGATACTTCAGGAATATGTAGGTTCTCCATTTCCTCATAATATGACCAAAATAATGATTTTTGTTCTGGTCTTTTGGTTGCAGTTATAATTTTGACTTCTATTTCTGACATTGGGTCATAGCCATTTGTATCTATTCCTATCCCAAACATCCATTTCTTACCTTCCCACCTATTTTGTTCTAGGAACCAACTGCCATTCTTGACTGTGAGAGTCACCAAATTACAGTTATCCGTTCCACAGGAATCTGCTTTTGTTTCATTCTTTTCAAACAAGATGTGGTCTATCTCTTTTGGGTCTTGGGTATGCCACTTAATACATGACCACCACTTACATTTGACCGCACATCCATCTGGTGGGCACAAGTACTTATGTTTTGGGATAAAGTTGTGAATATTACCATCCCTCCGCAACCATATGTTGGAGTCCAATAATTAGCTGCTTTGCAAACATCAAAGGTGACGCTAAAACTGGAGTGTGGATTGGATTTCCATTGGGAGATCCCTAAGAGTGCCTGGTCCTTATAGCTAGTTCTTGTTCTATGTGTTTTGATTTGTAAGGCCCAACGATCAGGATCAGACTTCGGGTTATAACACTGATATTGGACACCTTTTCTACAAACTTTATATGTAGTTCTATTGTATGTACAAGAGTCAGGAGAACTATCTTGGCACCCTTCTGGTTTAACTGTATGGTAAATCAAAGTCTTGGTTATCTGGTTTCCTTGTTTTGTAGTTTTGATACAGTTTTGACAACCTTGGTTTCCCTGTGTTTCTGCTCTTTCTTGGTGTGTGCTACTCTATAATTCTTTATTAGAGGGTTTCTGCATTATGACCTCTCGTGTAGCCATTGTACTGATTTGTGTAGGAATGTGTGTGCATATTAAATAATTAACAAATATTACGAGCTGTAGAATCCTCATATCTTCCACCGTGCGTAGAGAGACAGCTTCCTGGGGTGTCTCAGCAAGGTTGTTGATCACACCGTGTCTTGGGAACCTGTTGCTGTATTTCTTGTAAATTTCAACACCAAAGGCTTGTCAGTCTTGTCCACCTTGTAGGTCACCGGATCTGCAGGTGCAGCTGCTTTCACTCTACTCCAATGGATCCAAGATTTTCCTTCCAGGGTTTTCACTGCCAAAGGAGAACACATGACAACAGTATACGGTCCTTTCCATCTTGGGCTCAAGGGATCTGATTTCCAGTGCTTTACCCACACTCTATCTCCAGGCTTGAACCCATGTGTTGCTGTAACTACTGGAGGGGGTTGTTGTTCCATCATATAATGGCGCAATTTTGAAACGGCCAAATTATGAAGCTGTAACTGATGTAACGATTTCTGTTGATCTACTCCCCCCTTATGTGCCAAGTTGGGCCATCCTTGACTGTCAGGTTTAAACAGGCAAGGAGGACGGCCAAACATGAGCTCATAAGGACTAAGTTGTAATTTAGTGCGGGGGGCCAGTCTGATTGCATATAAAACCATAGGCAAAACATCTGGCCAGTGTAGATGAGTTTCCAAACAAAATTTGGTAATAAGTGTTTTAATTGTTCTATGGGATCTTTCCACTCTAGCAGCCGATTGAGGGCGGAAAGCACAATGAAATCTCCACTTAATTCCTAATGCTTGGGCTAAAGCCTGATTGATTTGGTGTACAAATTCAGGGCCATTATCTGATGAAATCCTAGAAGGGCTACCAAATCTAGGAATAATTTCTTTAAGAAATATTCTGGCAACCTGTATAGCTTTCTTATTTACAGTTGGAAATGCTTCAATCCATCCTGAATAGGTATCAATTATTACTAACAATGCTACATATTTCTTACTTCTAGGCATGTCAATAAAATCAACAACAACATAGTCCATAGGAAAATAAGCGATTGGTTGTCTGCCAGGTGGTATTACTGGTCCTTGGCGTTCATTGGTTTGGGCACAAATGGTACATTGAGAACAAACATCTGCTATTAGCGAAGAAGCAAATGGAATATAAAAAAATCGTTCAAGTTGCTGTAATAATGCAGTTTTTCCCAAATGATGTTGCTTGTGTGCCTGAAAAATAAGTGGGCGAGCAAGTGCCAAAGGGACAGCAATGCGTCCATCAGGTAAAGTGTACCAGCCTTTAACTAGTTTGGCTTGTACATCTTGTTGTAATTTTTGAGTTTCCTCCCTCGTATATGTAGGATCAAGTTGTTCTAAGTAAGTGTCTAGATACATGAACCTTGTGACATCTGATTGGAGAGGGGGACCTTCTAATGCAGCTCTTTTTGCTTCTTTGTCTGCCTTCCTATTGCCCTGGGTAATAAGGCTTGAGTCTTTTTGATGTCCAGGACAATGGATGATTGCAACTTTGGATGGCAATTGTGCTGCCTTGATAAGTCTTTTAATCAAAGTTGCATATTGGATAACTTTGCCTGTGGAATCCAAATATCCTCTCTCTTTGTAGATAGCCGCATGTGCGTGTATTGTTAAAAATGCATATTTACTATCTGTATATACATTTAAAGTCCTTCCCGCTGCTACTTCTAATGCACGGGTCAAGGCATATAATTCTGCAAACTGTGAACTGGCTTGACTAGGCAACTGTGCTGATTCAACAGTAGAATTTGAGAAACTATTGCGTAACCAGAGTATCTACATCCTTTATCCATAAAGCTAGAACCATCAGTAAACCATTGATAGTCTGGATTATGCAAGGGTTGGTCTGTAAGGTCAGGTCTGCAAGAATATTGTAGTTCTATTGTTTGCATGCAGTCATGAACAGGTTTGGTTGAATCAGGAATTGGCATTAGAGTTGCTGGGTTTAAAGTTGAGCATTGTTGCAGTGTAACTTGTGGATTTTCTAATAAAAGAGCCTGTATTTTATGCATTCGTTGATTACTTATCCATAAATGTCCTTTATTGTCAATGATTGTCTGCAAGGCATGACTAGTATAAACAGTCACTGGAGCTGAAAAGGTTAACTTGTTTGCCTCCTGCAGTAATAGCATAACTGCTGCTAGAATTTTTAAACATTGGGGCCAGCCTTGTGAAGAAATGTCCAGGTGTTTTGACAGATAAGCGACAGGGCGGTTCCAACTTCCCTGTTTTTGGGTAAGGACCCCTAAAGCTACATTTTGTCTTACATCCACATAAAGTGAAAAAGGCTTAGATATATCAGGTAGTCCTAGGGCAGGGGCTGTGGTGAGAGCCTGTTGCAATTGTCTCATTGCTTGGGTTTGTTCCTCTTGCCACAACAGAGGTTCTTTTTCTGGTCCCCTTAAAGCTTGGTACAATGGTTTAGCTGTGAGAGCGAAGTTAGGAATCCAAATTCTACAGAAGCCTGTAATTCCCAAAAAGGCTCTAACTTCCTGTTTTGTTGTGGGATGGGAATCTGTAACACAGCTTGCTTTCTCTGGGGGCCCAAAGTTCTTTGTCCTTGTGAAAGTTCATAGCCTAAATACATTACAGTCTCTTGAATTAATTGTGCTTTCTTTTTTTGGATACTCTATAACCACAGTCTTGTAACAATTGGAGCAGTCTTGATGTGTTTTCAAAGCAATCCTCCCTGCTTTGGCCAGTTACTAAGACATCATCGACATATTGAAGGCAACAATCCTCTTGTCTGAATAACTTCAGATAAGCAAGATCTTGGGCTAGGGCTTGACTAAAGCACGTTGGTGAATTTTTAAATATACGGCTACCACAAGGATTTGATTGCTTGCCAATGGATTTATTTAGGACAGATCTGGTGGCTCCCGTGTCAACTAGCATCGGGACAACCTGTCCTCCCACCCTTATTTTAACAATGGGCTCTGGGGGTGGGCGATAGAACCCTGTCCTCTTCAGTCTTCCCATTCCAGTTCAGCTAAGCCGATCATGTTTTCTTCTCTTTCCTCTGTCTGATTGGGATAAACTGGATGCCCTCTTCCTTTGAAGCTCTTTCTGAAGCCTCTCTGGAAAGTCCCTCTAAATCCTCTTCCTCTTCCTCTTCCATACTGGCGAGATTGTCCCCTGGGTTGGCCATTCCTCTGGGGGCACTCCCTTTGCCAGTGTCCTTCTTATTTACAGATGGCACACTGATTGGGTCCTAGGCATGTTCCTCCCAATGCCATGGCTAACATTTCAACGTTCTTTTTTTTCTTTTTGATCTGATTTGCGTTCCTCCTCCCTGTCACGGTTACGGAACATATTGAAGCATTGAAATATTAGTGTTATCTGGTCCAGGAACCAACACCTCTCTTAGAGGGGCAATATTTTCTTCTTTATTCCTAACTTGCTCCTGGTGCGGCTAGAAACTGAGGTTTCACTTTCAAAGTTATTCAAGCTTTTATCTGTTTCTTGAAGGGATTCAGCTGTTGCTAATTTTCCTTCCTCACCGGCTTCTGGCTGAAATTGGGCTTCTCTTTCAGGCAGAGGGAGTGGAATTTGCTGATTTATTCTCCCTTCTTCTCTTCTAGGAACATAGGGGGGTGGTCTGGCAATTTCCTCCCTATCTTCCTGGCTGAAAATCTTAGCTTTTGTTTGAGGCTTGGCTTTTTGGCTTGCCAAATATATCTTTGCACACTCTATCTGACATTTTGCTAACCATCTCTGTTTTTCTGCAATGTTGATTTTCCATAGGGGTACTGGTCCCAATAACCATTTCCAGTCACAATTTGATGAACCCGTGCAACGAGTTCGGGATTCGCCGATCCCATTTTTGGCCACCCTACGCCCAGGGCAGTCCACTCAGATTCATAGAATCTTTTTAACATGGCTGGATTTGGTTTTGGATCTCCATAATCCCTAGAAAACCCCTTTTTGAACTTCGCACATGCACTGGAGTGGCGTCTGGTCAACGCTCTCCTTTGACTTTTTCCCACCCATTTCTCTAATACACTACCATTGATCACTCAGCATGAGCTACAATGGTTTAACCTCCCACACACTCCTGCCTATTGAAGGCTTAAGGACGCCACCTTTGCCTTCTAGGGGGTGATCAGTCCCCTCTTCCGATCCAAAAGGGATCAGGTTTCCCCTGTTTTACAATACTTGCCTGCAGGCGTTTTCCAGACTCCTTTGTTGATTTAAGATCTGTCTGTCACCCTCATGGATCCTCAGACTGGAATGCTTCGCTGATGGGTTAATTCCCTTTCCTCCCGTCGAAGTCTCCTCGTAGTCAAAAGCTACGAAGCCGGCTTTGGAGCTGTCGTCGTTTAGGAGAGGGGGGGGGCCCACCAGGGCAATCCGTCTTGGAAGGTTAAATCCTTTTTCTTAAAAGCCCTTAAAAATGTCCCGGCGGAGAAGTCGCCATAAATCTTGTGGAAAAATAAAGCCTTAAAAAAATAAAGGGCTTTTACGAAATTCCATGGGTGAAAGAGAGATCTTTATTTTTGCGCAAAAGGTTCAGAAGTGACTTAACAATCAGCAAATTTCTGAACAAGGGGGAGGGTCTAAACTAAAGCTTTATAGGTTTCTTTTTCTCAGGAACAAAGGAAGCATAGATGGAATCTTACATTGTATATTGAATCTATTTTGTGTAACATTCAAATAGTTTCTCACACGTTAGGTCCATTTCTCATGGGAATATAATGAAGGCAGTTTTTACTTTTATACAATGTTTCTAAATATGCATTAGGTCATTCATGTACTGTTAATACAGCTTTTGGCTAACACAGCTTTCTTTCAGAGATTATGCAGACACATGATTTTTGCTTTTAGTGATTTTTCATTATTATTATTATTATTTTACTTTATTCTTCTTTATTCTATGTTATTCTATTTCTTTCCCACTTTAGGAGAACCTATCCCATCTCAGACAAGTGACTGTCCAATCTCTTCTTCAAAATCTCCAGTGATGGAGCGCCCACGATAGTTCTGGAGGCAAAACTGTTCCACTGGTTAATTGTCCTCACTGTCAGGAAGTTTCTCCTTAATTCCAGATTGCTTCTCTCTTTGATCAATTTCCAACCATTGTTTCTTCTCCTGCCCTCAATTAGAATTTTTTAGTCTACAAAGCTCCAAGCATTTAATATACTCAGGAGTAGTCACAAAACCCATGTCTTGATTGATAAGGTGACCAACTTTTTTACAATGAAAAGCAGGACACAAATAAATTGAAGAAAAAATATCGTAAATAAAAGAAACATTTTATTCATTGCAACAATAATACAGGATACACTATAATATGATAAATGCATAATAAAAAACATTTGTAACAATAACATTTTATATTGTAATTATGCTTACATGCCGCGCCCCCGCCTGCAGCTGCCCCGCCAGCACTGCTGCCCCACCGTGTAAAGCGGGCCCTGTGGCTCCCAAAGCACCAGCTGCGCCAGGGGGGCAGCCCGCCATTGACACACCCCACTTGCAGCCGCCCCGCCAGCACCACTGCCCACCCTGCACAGCCCCATGTAGAGCAGGTCCTGCGGCTCCCATAGCACAGGGGACAACCGGCCACCGCCGCCCTTCATACACCCCTGCCTGCAGCAGCCCCGCTGCCCCTGCCTCTTGTGCTCGCAGCCATTATTGCCCTAGCAGGGCCGAAGATCAAGAGTGGCGTTGCTGCTCCAGTCTCCTCCAGGTATCTTTGGGACTAACTAGGAGATGGTGTAGTTGGGTAGCAGGGAGGGGTGCAAAGTTCCTGCCAATTCACCTTTGCTGCAGATAACTTACATGTGCAAAGTTTGCCGGCACACTCAGCAGCAATTCCTATTGGCTTTCGAAAGTTGAAAAAAAGTTGAAAAAAAAACCATTAAAAAAGGTGCCAGAACGCCATTCTAAGTGTTCTATGAGAGAGAAAAAAGCCCTGCAGATTAGTCTTCAAATATTGAAAAGGAGGACATGTAGAAGGACACTTTTTGAGGGAGGACAGAACTTAAAAAAGGAGGACTGTCCTCCCTAAAGGAGGACAGTTGGTCACCTTATGATTGATCACTTAGGGCACAAAGCAAGCTCACAAGGTTTACCCCAATTTATTTCATTATCAAATACTTTCCAAACCACTGTGCAACCTTGATAAAATTAGGCCTAAATTTCCAAACTATCTTCAAAGTTTAACGTAACAGTATTTTACACTGAATAATTGACATTCCACACCCTGCACGTTAGGCGGAGAGATAAAGTACCGATCCCAAATTTCCAAACTTGGGAATTAATATTCAGTTCCAAAGTTTGGAAACTCAACTTTGAAAGTAAATACTAATATAAAATATAGCAATAGTCTACATTAAAGGACGTACATCCACATCCTCCATGTCTCAAGGTGGCCGAATTTCTGCAACTTCGTGCGGACTTCAATCCCCAGAATTCCCCAGCCAACATCCTGAGCCATCTGTTCCTTTCCTAAAAACATCCCCCCCCCCCCCCAGGTTTCAGCGCTTTCTTTTCCAAGGGCCTGTTGCCATCCCAGTCTTTTGCATTGCAGCTCTTCCGGCCCAGCTGAAGCGTTGGGGCCTCTCTGGGGAAAAAGCCTCTCCCAGGCTGACTTGGGTCGACTTGGCTGGGTCTGAAATCCGAATTTTATTGCAGGGCATCATTGTCCCGTGTCCCCGGGCAGCCTGCCATCCTGTCTTGCTGGCGCTGGGAGGCCAGCAGAGGCTCCGGAGAGGGGAAAAGGAGAAACGACCTTCCTGTGCTCGGCTCTTTCCTCCATTCCCTCCCTCCCTCCCTCCCTTTCTAGAGGCAGGAGGGAGGGGGAGAAGCCCCTCTGCCTTTCCCAGCCGTCCTTGGGCCGGACGGACCCCCCCAGGAACTGCATCTGCCCAGCTCGCCAGGCGGCGGCTAGGTGTGTCTGGCAGGAAAGGGGCACAGATGGGTCTGGGCCAGCGATGGGGGAAAGCCAAGGAATGGACCCGAAGGGCTGGATGGCGGTAGGAGGTAAGGCGGGAGGAGATCAAAGGGATCAAGGCGGAGGCTGCAGCCCAAAGGGGGTGCTGAGACTCCCCCCCCCATCTCTTTCTTGCAGAGCTTTGTGGAGGGGGGGGCAACCTTCCTGACTGGCGTCTTCTCGGCTCCTAAGGCCAACTGGAGCAAGCCAGAAGTGGGGAGCTAGCAAGCAAGGTGGGGGTGGAGTGGGGAACAGCCCCTGGTTTAGTATCTCTGGGCCAGGCCTCTGTAAGCTGTCATCTCCCTGCAGGGGGATCAGGGTGGAGCCCCCCACCCCACCACCACCAAACCAGAGGGGCCCAGAAGAGTTTTCAAAACAAGTCACTCTGGAGAGCGTGTAAATTTAATAAATATGTAATAAAGAAGTAAAGGTTAAGGGAGGCCGAACTTGAAGTCTGAACCACGAGCAATGCATATTATTTCGTGTTTACCTCTTAGTCGCCTTGTTGGATGCTATGCTTTTGCTTATTTTTAGTTAATAGTTAGTTCATAGTGGAAATATCATAATTCCAGGCGGGGTGCGTGCTGGTCAGAGTAAGCAGCTATCTTAGGAATTAAGAACCGTCCCCTTAAGGGATAGCCTTTTGGGTAATGTAGTTTAAGTTACCTGGTCATATCTGGGTTTGGATTGGCCACTGGGAGGGACTGCTGATTGGCTACCGGGATTTCTGCCTACGTGCAGTCCAGCAGGGTCTTTGTGTATTCCGGCCACGAGGAGCTTTTGCTCCTTTAACATGGAAGAAATTATCTCCTTTTATCTATCTGTTGGGTCCAGATTATGATATGTGTTTCAGAAGAGTTCCTACAGTAACTGTAAGTTAATGTTTTGAGAATGCCTGGTGAATTAAAGTAATCTACATGAAACTTTTCCGTGGAGTTAATCTGCCTTCATAATAATAATAAAGTTGGAAGGGACCTTGGAGGTCATCTAGTTCAACCCCCTGCGCAGGCAGGAAACCCTATACAATTTCGGACAAATGGCTGTCCAGTCTCTTCTTAAAAAACTTCCAGCATTGGAGCATTCACCGCTTCTGGAGGCAGATTGTTCCACTGGTTAATTGTTCTCACTGTCAGGAAGTTTCTCTTTAGTTCCAGGTTGCTTCTCTCCTTGATCAGTTTCCATCCGTTGCTTCTTGTCCTGCCTTCAGGCACTTTGGAGAATAGCTTGACTCCCTCTTCTTTGGGGCAGACCCTGAGATATTGGAACACGGCTATCATGTCCCCCCTCGTCCTTCTCTTCATTAAACTAGACATACCCAATTCCAGCAACCATTGTTTATATGTTTTAGCCTCCAATCCCCTAATCATCTTTGTTGCTCTTCTCTGTACTCTTTCTAGAGTCTCAACATCTTTTTTACATCGTGGTGACCAAAACTGGATGCAGTATTCCATGTGTGGCCTTACCAAGGCCTTGTAAAGTGGTATTAACACTTCATGTGATCTTGATTCTATCCCTCTGTTAATACAGCCTAGCACTTTGTTGGCTTTTTTGGCAGCTGCAGCACACGGCTGGCTCACGTTTAAGTGACTGTCCACTAGGACTCCGAGATTGCAACAAGCAATATTTAGCAGCAGCCCCCCTTGCTTGTTCAGATTCTAAATCAGTGGTTCTCAACCTGTGGGTCGGGACCCCATTTGGGGTCGAACGACCATTTCACGGGGGTCGCCAAACAAGGCTGTCCGCCATTTTTTCCCCCTTTTCTTTGGCCACGCTCCTGGCACCCAGTGATGTATAAGTAGTTGGGGGTCACCACAACATGGGGAACTGTATTATTGGGTCACGACATTAGAAAGGTTGAGAACCACTGTTCTAAATGGAGATTGCAGGCTCTGAGCTGAACTCCCAGCCGAGACTCTGAGGTCTGATTCTGATCAGGTGCTGCTTTTAGGGATGCCCTAGTGGATCCTCCAGATCCAGAGGCAGTCTACCTCTGAATCCAATTTCCATGGGAACAACAGTAAGAGGCTGTTGCCTCTTTCATGTCCTGTTCATGTATATCCTTTTTTTGAGGAAAAAAAATGGAATAAATGGAAATTCTATGTAAACAATACAGGTAGTCCTCGACTTACGACTACAATTGAGCCCCAAATTTCTGTTGCTAGGTTAAATAGCTGTTTAGCATGTTTTGGCCTATTGTATGACCTTTCTTGCCACCGTTGTTAAGGGAATCACTGCCGTTGTTAAATCAGTAGCCTAGTTTCTAAGTGAACCTGGCTTCCCCATGGACTTTGCTTGTCAGGAAGACGCAAAAGGTGATCAGGTGACTCCGGGACGCTGTGACCGTCATAAATACGAGTCAGTTGCCTGATCACGTGACCATGGGGGGGATGCTGCAATGGACATAAGTGTGAAGAATGGTCCTAAGCCACTTTTTTCAATGCCGTTGTAGCGTCAACAAACTATTGTGGGTCGAGGTCTACCTGTAGCTCATAATAAACAGATTCTGGTTGTTTGCAGAATTGAAAAATTCTGCTTGCATCTATTAGCTGAGATTGTTTTGTGGGGTCCTCTGGCAAGTTGCATCTTTTAAAAATATAATCTTTCTATAAAATCACAAAAAGGCATACTACCTGCTGTCTCTTATGAAGGTTTCTTTGCTTTGCCTTTTCTGGCTGCTTGTGTTGGGCTAGAACAGGCTTTGACTTGGTCCAGGGGTAGGCAACCTCGGCTCTTTCATGACTCCTGGACTTCAACTCCCAGAATTCCTGAACCAGCCTGGCTCAGCATGGAAACCTCTCCCTTTCCCCTCAGCATGGCTGGCTCAGGAATTCTGGGAGTTGAAGTCCACGAGTCATAAAAAGAGCCAAGGTTGCCTACCTCTGACCTGGTCTAATAGTACAGGGCTTTTCAACCTTTTCACCCATTGTACCACTTTTAGGATATGGCAACATCCAAGTACCACCAATCGCCCAGCAAGGTGTCAAAAACTTGATGACCCCCAAAAAAGGGGGGGGGAGTGATAAAGTACAGGTAGTCCTCGACTTACAACAGTTTGCTTAGTGACTGTCCGAAGTTACAATGCACTGAAAAAAGTGCCCCCCAAGCCACAGCCGAGCAAGACACCTGCCTGCCCGCCCGCGGCGCTCTTCTTCCTGTCCGAGATTTTCATTGTTGTGAGCATTTTTGTTGAGGATTGGCAGCGGGGGTGGGGTGGGGGGGGTGTTTGGTTTTTATTCCCTCCGTCTGCTGGGTGGTTGCAGCAGGTTTTGGTCACTTCACATGACCCCAGGTCACTGTGACCGTCATAAATATGAATCAGTTGCCAAGCATCTGAATATAAATCACAAGACCCTGGAGATGCTGCAACATTCCAGCTGATCGGTGCTTCTTCTGGGCTCAGCAGAAGCGCCAGGATCAGTGCTGCTTTCCAGCTGATTGGTGCTTCTTGGCTCAGCGAAAGCGCCAGGATCAGTGCCGAGCTCCAGCTGGAGCCTGGTGCTGATCCTGGCACTTCCGCTGAGCCATGACAGCCCTGTAGCTCCAGCCGTCTCTCGCTCAGGCTTATGCGGTGCTGCCACCGGTTCAGCTCATTCCCTTCCCCTGCTACTTTTCGAGGATGCTCACGTACCACCTGCCAGGTGCCAATGTACCACAGGTGGTACCCGTACCACTGGTTGAAAAGCCCTGTAATAGTACATCCAAAAGGGTTGCTGGGTGCGTGGCCACTTCTGGTGCATTTAATCCATCCACCTGGTGTCTTCTCTCCTGCAGGGACTCATCTGCCTTGCCAATGCAGAAGAGCTTCCCCTTCTGTGTGAACTGTCCTCCGCCATAGCTCTTCTAGAACGATTGAAGCCAGTGGCTGCCCGGTTCAGATGCCCGAGCAAATCTGAAGTGAAGCCATGTCTAGTGGAGGACGTGGGATGGGAGCCGTGGATCTCCAGCCGTGGCGCTTCCCCTTCTCCCGCGACTTACCTGCAGGCCTTAGAACGGAGATGATGGAAGCCCCCAACGGGGAAGAGGAACGTCAAAGGGAAACCAAAGCCAATTTTTTTGCACAATCTAGAACCCCCAAAGCGTTCCCCACATGGGTGACACTGTTGCGGGTTAAACAAGAGCCCGAGGAAGGGTTGAACCAGCCGTGGGGAACCCAGGGGCACGAGCGGTGGAGAACCTGGCAGCCCAGGTCTTCAGGAGAACCGTCTTCACAATTTCAAAGCAGAGGGGAAATCTGCCGGTTGGCACCAACCTCTTTGGAGGACAAATCTGGAACTGAGCAGTGGCTGGAAGCCTCTTCGGCTGTGGGCCTCAGGGAAGAAACCAAAGGGAACTACCAGAATCTGGAAGGTGAAGATGGAGAAGGGGACAAGAAGTCCAAGGAAGATCTTCCGGACCAAGAGGATGTAAGCTCTGAGATCCAGCAGAAGCGGTTCAGGCATTTGTGCTACCGGGAACTGGAAGGGCCTCGCAAGGTTTGCGGCCGACTCCGGGATCTCTGCAGTCAGTGGCTGAAACCAGAGCAGTGTACAAAGGAGCAGCTGCTAGAGATGGTGATCCTGGAGCAGTTTTTGGCCATCCTGCCCAAGGAGATGCAGAGCTGGGTCAAGGAGGGTGGGCCGGAAAGCTGTGCCCAAGCGGTGGCCCTGGCCGAGGACTTCCTGCGGAGTCAGAAAGAGCCCAGAGGCTTCTGGGAAGAAAAAGTGAGGCAGTGACTACATGGAGGGGCCCACAGGAGGGTTCAGGTGACCTCCAGCCTTTGGATGACCAGGAAAATGTAGATAGTCTTTGACTTGCCACAGTTCACAGTGTTCAAAATCACAACAGCACTAGAAAAAAAAGTGATTTATGACCCCTTTTCACACTTAACGACCGTTGCAACATCCCCATTGGTTACGTGATCAAAATTCGGATGCTTGGCAGTTGATTCATATTTATGACGGTGGCTGTGTCCTAAGGTCATGTGATCATTTTTTTGGTAACCTGATCAACCAAGCCCACGGGCAGGGGTAGGCCACCTTGGCTCTTTTATAACTCGTGGACTTCAACTCCCAGAATTCCTGAGCCAGCCATGCTGAGGGGAAAGGGAGAGGTTTCCAAGTTGAGCCATGGCTGGCTCAGGAAATTTGGGAGTTGAAGTCCACGAGTCATAAAAGAGCCGAGGTTGCCTACCCCTTACCATGGGGAAGCCAGATTCCCTTAACAACCGTGTTACTAACGTAACAACCGCAATGATTCACTTAACAGTTGTGGCGAGAAAGGTCATAAAATGGGACAACCATTTGTCTGAAATGGTATAGGGCAGGGGGGTAGGCAACCTTGGCTCTTTTCTGACTCGTGGACTTCAACTCCCAGAATTCCTGAGCCAGCATGGCTCAGCTTGGAAACCTCTCCTTTTCCCATCAGCATGGCTGGCTCAGGAATTCTGGGAGTTGAAGTCCACCAGTCATAAAAGAGCCAAGGTTGCCTACCCCTATGATAGGATCTCCTGCCTGAGCAGGGGGTTGGACTGGAAGACTATTCAGATTATTCTGTAATCTGGCCGATATTTCAGCCTCTCCATTTTGGTGAAATGGAAGCCATTTTAAGTACAGTACACATCGACATGAAGCTGGCTCACTGCAGATGTTCCACACTCTGTCTCCTGCTTCAAGAGGAGTTGGGGTGCCAACGCAGCCCCTCCACCACTGGAAGCAGCTGTAGCTTTTCTCTGCAGTTGTCAAAATCTTGGGGGGGGGGAACATTACCCTTTTAAGATCTTGGAGAAAAGGCCTACAGGCAGTCCTCAAGTCACGACCACCGCCGAGCCCAAAATTTATGTTGCTAAGTGAAACACTTGCTGGGTGAGTTTTGCCTCATTTTACGACCTACCCTGCCAGAGTTGCTAAGTGAATCCTTGCAGTTGTTCAATTAGTAACACGGGTGTTCAGTGAATCCGGCTTCCCCGTTGACTTTTGCTTGTCAGGCTGCGAAAGAGGGATCACATGACCCCGGGGACACTGCGGCCGTCATAAATATGAGTCAGTTGCCAAGTGTCTGAATTTCGATCCCGTGACCATGGGGGAAATGCTGCAGTGGTCGTAAGTATGAAAATGGTCATAAGCCTCTTCAGTGCCATTGTAACTTTGAACGGTCACTAAATGCTCTGTTGTAAGTCCAGGACGACCTATATTTGGGGCTTTATCTGCACCCCAAAGCTCTGGGCAACCCAATGATAGGTGTCTGTGGGGTTTACCTACATTTGTAAGTAAATTTGGGGGTGTGGAGGAAACAGCATGTTTATGTGGTCCCCTCCTTTTGATGCTAAGAAAGGCGCTCTGTTATTCCAGGTGCCACCAGAGTCACCTGGAGGAGGAAAGATGAACGCTGCTGTTGGGCCTCCATTGGAGGTTGAAACAGGACATTCGGACCAGGAGGTCAAGGAAGAGAACAAGGACTTGCTCGGTGAGTGGTTTGATTATTATGGGATGGACTCGAGGCATTATGGGAGTCACCATGACATTCCCTGCTTCAACTTTGCCATCCTGTATATCAGAGGTGGGGGAACAAAGGACCTTTTATGACTTGTGGACTTCAACTCCCAGAATTCATGAGCCAGCATGGGGAACAAAGGACTTTTTATGACTTTTGGGTTCCAATATCTCAGGGGCTGCCCCAAAGAAGAGGGAGTCAAGCTATTCTCCAAAGGGCCTGAAGGCAGGACAAGAAGCAACGGATGGAAACTAACCAAGGAGAGAAGCAACCTAGAACTAAGGAGAAACTTCCTGACAGTGAGAACAATTAACCAGTGGAACAATCTGCCTCCAGCAGTGGTGAATGCTCCAACACTGGAAGTTTTTTTTTTTTTGTTATAAAATCATGTTGGTCACATGACCAATCCGTTTTATTTATTTATTTTGTAAAAAAAAAATATTTTCAATTTTACAGTGCATTACATTCATAAAAATACTTCAGATAAAAAATAAAACAAATTGATACACACAACTTTCGGTATTGCTCACCCATTTCCCCCCAAACCGCATCCACCCTCTAATCTACTTCCCTCTTTCCCTCTTCTTCCTCTTCCTCATTCTCCCCCTCTCCTCCTTCTCCTCAACCTTCCTACTTGCTTCTCCCCTTCTTCCTCTTCTCGCTCCGGATGCGGTCCAGGGGAAATGCCCGAGCAATTCCTCTCTCCAAATTAAAACATCAATATTATATACAATAAAACTATTTCTACTTTTCTGAGCTACTTAAACTTCAACCCATCCTCCCCCCCACACTGGAAGTTTTTAAGAAGAAAATGTACAACCATATGTCTGAAATAGTATAGGGTTTCCTGCCTGAGCAGGGGGTTGGACTAGATGACCTCCAAGGTCCCTTCCAACTTTTTTATATTATTATTATTATTATTATTATTATTATTATTATTATTAAGGGGCCAGCATTCCCCATGCTGGCTCAGGAATTCTGGGAGTTGAAGTCCACAAATCATAAAAGGGCCATCGTTCTCCATCTCTGGTTTATATCTTCGGTCCCGAAGGATCAACTTCTCCACTCTTCTTTCTTCCGGAGATACTGATTCTCTGTCATTGGGAATTGCCGTTAGTCCAATTCCTCTGCAGGAGCTGATTGAACTCCTGGGGCTGTTGGGAGTCTAGAGAGGGAAAGAAATGGAAGTGGAGTCTTTTTTTTTTTTAAAGACTTGGTATAGGTCACCATCCTTAGTTTTTCTAACTCTCCCTTTCTGCTTTTGTAGCCATTGAGATGGTCTCCCGGCCACATCCTGGATCCTCTGCTCCAGAGCAAACTCAGGTAAGGGGTGAGCAGAAGAAGAGGAGAAGTTTTCAGAGAAATTCCAAGATCCATCTTCAGTCTTTGGCCAGGCTGATAGGTATTGATGGAAATGAGCTTAAGAGCATCCGAGGCCACAAACTTCCCAAGCATTGTACTGGGGTACTTTGAATGCCTCAGGTCGTGAATATACATTGAGCTGATATAGGTTTTATAATCCAAAATAAATCTATATCCAGTCAATATGGGATACTCAGGGAGCTGCAGCTCTTAAATTAGATCTCTCTAAGAATTCTGGGAGTTGAAGTCCACACACACAGAGTTGCTAAGTGTGGGAAATACCGAGTTTTGCAGTTTTGTTATTTTAGCTTTCATTTTTTTTTATTGAAAAGTTTTATAAAAGTTACAATATACACCCCAGAACCCACCCACCCTTAACCTCCCCTCTCCCTCCCCTACTTCCCAGAGCTGAATACAGGGTAACAAACATAATAATCATACTCTAACTAACATTAACCAACTATGTAAATAACCAAGTCCGTAATGCGCTTTAACTCCCCTTTAACATAAAAAATAAACAAATTAAAAATAAACATAATAATGTAAAGTTAACATCCTAATTCTTGAACAATACAATATCCAAATTGTTAAACAATATTAATACTAAAAATAATAATAAAACTAATAAAAATTCCACTATAGTAAACTATTAATAATAATAATACTCTAAAATTTACTAGCTTTCATTTTAAAGACTTAAACTCGATGCAGTTGGAAATCTTCATAGAGATAGTCCTCGACTTATGACGACAAGTGAGCTCAAAGTTTCTGTGGCTAAGTGAGACGGTTGAGTCAGTTTTGCTCCATTTTTACTGCCACCTTTCTTGCCACAGTTGTTAAGTGAATCCCTGCAGGGGTTAAGTTAGTAGCACGGTTGTTAAGTGGATCTGGCTTCCCCATCGACTTTGCTTGTCAAAAGGTCACAATAGGGGTTCACATGACACCGGCATACATCAACCGTCGTAAATATGAATCGGTTGCCAAACATCTGAATTTTGATCATGTGACCATGGGGATACATGATACATTGGTCAGAAATGTGAGAAATAGTCAGAGGTCATTTTTCCCAGTGCTGTTGCAACCAGTGGTGGGATTCAGCCGGTTTGTACCACTTCGGCAGAACCGGTAGCTAATTTTTTGTTGCCCAGGCACAGAATGGACTTCCGGAAGCGGCATCCACACAAAGAACCGGTTGTTCACATATTTGAATCCCACCACTGGTTGTAACTACACGAACTGTTGTAAGTCGAAGACTATCTGTATCTGCTTTTCTTTAAGATCAAGTGATTATCTTTTCTTAAAAAATATTGAGATACGAGAATGGTTCTTCTGAGAAGAAGCAATCTCGCCTCCATAGGAGGTTTCGGAAGTAATTATTTCCCCTTGTACAGAGCTTTCACTTGAGTAGAGTAGAATAGAGTGAAGTAGAGTGGAATACGAATGGAATGGATGGAATAGAATGTTATGGAACGGAATGAAATAAGAATGGAACGGAATGGAATAAGAATGGAATGGAATGGAATAAGAGTGGAACGGAATGGAATAAGAGTGGAACGGAATGGAATAGAATGTTATGGAAGGGAATGGAATAAGAATGGAATGGAATGGAATAAGAGTGGAACGGAATGGAATAAGAGTGGAACGGAATGGAATAGAATGTTATGGAAGGGAATGGAATAAGAACGGAAAGGAATGGAATACGAATGGGATGGAATAAGAGTGGAATGGGACAGAATGGAATGGAATGGAATGGAATACGAGTGGAATGGAATAAGAGTGGAATGGGACGGAATGGAATAGAATGGAATGGAATACGAATGGAATGGAATGGAATAAGAGTGGAATGGGACGGAATGGAATAGAATGGAGTAAGAGTGGAATGGAATGGAATAATGGAATGGAATAAGAATGGAATGGAATAGAATGTTATGGACAGGAAAGGAATGGAATGGAATACGAATGGAATGGAACGGAATGGAATAAGAATGGAACGGAATGGAATAGAATGTTATGGAATGGAATAGAATTATGGAATGGAATGGAATAAGAATGGAATGGAATAAGAATGAAATGGAATGGAATAGAATGTTATGGAACGGAAAGGAATGGAATGGAATACGAATGGAATGGAATACGAATGGAATGGGACGGAATGGAATGGAATATGAATGGAATGGAATGGAATAAGAGTGGAATGGAATAAGAATGGAATGGAATGGAATAATGGAATGGAATGGAATATGAATGGAACGGAATAGAATAAAATAGAATATATTCTTTATTGCCCAAGTATGATTAGACACCCAAGGAATATGTACTCGGTGCATAAGTTTGATTCTACGATATATGGTACATAAGTCCTTAGATTGGGGAGGACTATCACACAAGATTTTAACTCTAGTCTCAGAATGATGGAGTTGTCATCCAGCAAGGTCTGGAGGCCCACACATTCTGCAGTCCCAGTTTAAGGCCTCTTCCCATCCTGAGATTGCCCTCGACCCACAAACTATTGAGAAAGTCCCATTTTCTTTCAGATGACTTTTGAAGACGTGTCCATATATTTCACCGAGGGTGAGTGGGCCTTGCTGGATCTGGACCAAAGAGCTCTATACAGAGAGGTCATGCTGGAGAATTACGAGAAGGTGTCTGCTCTGGGTACGTCCCTTCTTCTGTCTTGTCTTAGAGGTGACCATGGAAAATGGTGAGGTGGCTTCCTTTAAGGGCCTGACTTTATGTCTGTGGAGATTCTCAGTCATCCAGGTCATAGTTATTCCAAAGGTGCTTTTTTCAAGAGGCAACTGGACTTTCTTTTTTTTTTCTTCTTTGAAGACGTTTCGCTTCTCACCCAAGAAGCTTCTTCACCTCTGACTGGATGGTGGGGAAGGAAGGATTAATACTCCTTGCAGACAGCTGTTAATTTGCATTCTTTTAGAGAGTCCTTGAGGTCACTTGGGGGTTTACCTGTGTAATCAGGGTCACCTGAGTAGTGCAAATGGGTGTGGAGCCTTCTTGTTGAAGTCCATCCATCTTCAAGTGGCCAAGGTTGAGAGACATTGGTCTAAAAAAAGGGTCTTCAAACTTGGCCACTTTAAGACTTGTGGACTTCAACTCCCAGAATTCCTCAGCCAGCCCTGTATTATGCTCAATCCCTAGGGCTGGCTGAGGAATTCTGGGAGTTGGAAGTCCACAAGTCTTAAAGTGGCCAAGTTTGAAGACCCCTAGTCTAAAAGACAACCTTTCAATGAGGTTTAAACTGAAGAGGCTAAAATTGTTTTACAACATGGATGATCAAAGACTTCCTAAAATCTGTGCCACTGCCGACACAATAAATTGTACATTTTTTCTGCCCAATACGATGATTTCTCACTGATACAAAGCAGAATACAGGTAGTCCTCAACTTATTGAGACCAGAATTTCCGTTGCTAAGCAAGGCAGCCGTTAAATAAGTCAGGTTTGATTTTATGACCTTTTGCACCACAATTATGAGGTAAATCATTGCGATTCTTAATTGGATCGTGCAGTCCTTAAGCAAATCGGGCCTTCCCCATTGACTTTGCTGGTCGGAAGCAGGCTGAGAAGGTTGTGTGGGAAACAGTTGCAAATGGCGATCATGTGACCCTGGGGTGTTGCAACCGTCATAAGTACAGTTGCCAAACGCTCAAATTTTGATCACGTGACTGTGGAAATGTGAGGAAAGGGAGAGGACCAATTGTAAGTGACTTTTTTCAGCGCCGTTGTAATTTCAAATGGAGACTAAGCAAATGGCTGTCATTTGAGGACCACCTGTATTATGCTCAATGCCAGGGGTGGGCAACCTGGCTCTTTTATGACTGGTGGACTTCAGCTCCCAGAATTCCTGAGCCAGCATGGCTCAGCTTGGAAACCTCTCCCTTTCCCCTCAGCGTGGCTGGCTCGGGAATTCTGGGAGTTGAAGTCCACGAGTCATAAAAGAACCAAGTCTGAAGACCCCTGTCCTAGACAATCACTTCTCTGAAATGGTATAGGGCAGGGGTAGGCAACCTTGGCTCTTTTATGACTGGTAGACTTCAACTCCCAGAATTCCTGAGCCAGCAGGGCTCACCTTGGAAACCTCTCCCTTTCCCCTCAGCATGGCTGGCTCAGGAATTCTGGGAGTTGAAGTCCACCAGTCATAAAAGAGCCAAGATGGCTTGCCCCTGCTCAATGCCAAGAAGAGAATTTTCTAATGCTCAGAATTTCTTAAGTATCTGACAACTGTTATATGAAAGATATAGCAAGGCCTTTTCCTCGTTTCTCTTGCGTTATTTCTTCTAACATTCAGAGAGTCCAGACTTTTTCTTAATGTGTTTTGGACAAAAACCTTTTATAGGGTTAGTCCTCGACTTACGACCACATTTCTATTGCTAAGCGAGAGAGTCGTTAAGTGAGTTTTGCCCCATTTTATGAACTTTCTTGCCACGGTTGTTAAGTGAATCACTGCAGTCGTTCAGTTAGTATCACGGTTGTTAAGTGAATCCGGCTTCCCCATTGACTTTGCTTGTCGGAAGGTCACAGTAGGTGATCATGTAACCCTGGGACACTGCAGCCGTCATAAATATGAGTCAGTTGTCAAGTGTCTGAATTTTTTTAAAAATATATGTTTTATTGGTTTTTTTTACATATCACCATCAATATTTGGTGACCCCAGGATACTACAACCGTCATAAATATGAGTCAGTTGTCAAGTGTCTGGATTTTTTTTTAAAAAAATTATGTTTTATCGGGTTTTTTTTACATATCACCATCAATATTTGGCAAACACTGTGTTGTCTGGGTTTGTATTTACAAATAATAACAATTAGTTTCTATAATTCCATATTCCACATTGTAGCTTTCCTTGATTTTCTCTTCTTCCCATAATATTCTCTTTTATCAGCCTTGAATTAGTATATTTCCTGATAATTTTAAAAGATAACAATTAAATATCTACAAATAACCTCCACCTCATGATGAAGCTTCTTTTTCTCATTAATCATCTCGATCACCTTGTCACAGATCCTCTTTTTAAAGTTCTCATTTGAATTTATTTTCCCCACAATATTTCAAAAGAAAACATTTTACCTGTTGAAATTTTCTTAGAGTTAATTACACTTTGATATTTAAATCTTTTTCCTCCTACGAACCATCCCAACACTTACATTTTTCATGTTTTGAAACAGAAAATGTGTGAATTTTGATCACGTGATTATGGGGATGCTTCCAGAGTTGTGTGAAAAACAGTCATAACTCACTTTTTCCAGCGCCGTTGTCCCTTTGAACGGTCACTAAACAAACCGATGTAAGTCAAGGTCTAACTGTACTTCTTCTTTTTAAAAGGATTTCTGATTTCCAAGCCAAACCTTATTGCCCAGTTGGAAAAAGGAGGAGACACATATATCTGGTCTTCTGAGCCAACGGAAAGGGGAAAAATTACAGGTAGAGCGATGTCTTTATGGGGGGGGGGAATAAAAAATTTGGGGTGCCCTTGTCCCTTGGAGGGTCTCTTGCAACTTTATCGCACTGGGTCTACAATAAATTGCTTCCAAAGTTGCCATCTCTTTTTCCAAAGGTTTTCTCCTCTTCCACCATGTCACAAAGTCATTTAACAGCACTCATATGTTTTCACTGTTTTCGCTAGAATAAGAACAACAGCCCTGCAGTGTTGGGCTATCAGCTCCGCCCTTTTGGGGGCGGGCATTCAGTATGACAGCACAGCTAGAACATAGAACATAGAATAAAGTTGGAAGGTCACCTTCTAGTCAAGCCGCTGCTCAAGCAGGGGACCCTGTACCAGGTAGGCCACCTTGGCTCTTTTATGACTCGTGGACTTCAACTCCCAGAATTCCTGAGCCAGCATGGCTCAGCTTGGAAACCTCTCCCTTTTCCCTTAGCATGGCTGGCTCAGGAATTCTGGGAGTTGAAGTCCACGAGTCATAAAAGAGCTGAGGCTGCCTACCCCTGCCCTATACCAGTGATGGCGAACCTTTTAGAGACTGAGTGCCCAAACTGAAACCCAAAATCCACTTATGCATTGGCGAGTGCTGGGTGGGTGTGGCCCATTGGCTGGGTGTAGCCCATTGGGTGGGCGTGGCTGTAGTGGTAACGGCAGACTGGGTGGGACTAAAAAGTTCAATCAATCAATGCCAACTTTGCAAGATCTTTTTTTTCCTGTGAGAAGTTGAAATTGATTGTTTGATTGAATCTTTTTTTTTGTACACGGCGGCAGAAGCCTAAAGCGAAAAGGTTTTATAAAACCCAGCTGAAGGCCTAGGACTGGGGTGACGACGCGTGTGCCCACAGAGAGGGCTCTGAGTGCCACCTCTGGCACCCATGCCATAGGTTTCCCGCCACTGTGCTAATCCTTGGCTTACGACCACAGAATTACCCATTGCTAAGCAGGACACTTGTTCAGTGAGCTTTGCCCCATTTTATACCTTTTCTTGCCACAGTTGTTAAGTGAATCCCTGCACTTGTTAAAATTAGTGACCCGGTTGTTAAGTGGATCTGGCTTCCCCCGTTGAATTTGCTTGTCAAAAGGGGATCCTGTCACCCTGGGACACTGCAGCTGTCATAAATACATGCCAGGGGCCAAGCCTCTGAATTTTTATTGGGTGATCATGGGGGGGGGATGCTGCGACAGTCGTGTGGAAAACGATCATAAGTCACGTTTTCCTGTGCCGTTGTAACTTCGGTCACTAAACAAATGGTTGAAAGTCGAGGATCCCCTGTAAAGACAAGCCGTATCTTGGTGCTCTTTAGTAGCAAAGATACTTTTTGCTGATAATTTTGCTGATTTCCCCTTTTTCTGACAACTCAAATGGATTTTCCCATTTAGACCACCGAGAAATACATCAGTTTTGATGCTGCCATTGTCAGCGCAAGGAACAGTCCTAGATCTGTGCTGTCATAAGTTTGAACGGTCATTAAATGAACGGTCGTAAGCCGTTTGAACGGTCATTAAATGAACGGTCGTAAGCCGAGCACTATTGTAAATATTTTTCCTTCTTGTCTGCTATGTGGATTGACCCAGTGGTGGGATTCAAATACCTGAACAACCAATTGTATTATGTGATGCAGGCCTGGGCCTCCAATGCCTAGAATGGACTTCCAGAAGTGGCATCATGCACTTCCGTTGGCCGTTCTAGGCCTGGGAGGCCTCCCCCAGGCATCTGATGCTTAGAACAGACTTCCTAAAGTGGCATCAACGCACTTCCGATGGGCTGTTCTAGGCCTGGGAGGCCTTCTCCAGCCTTCCGAGGCCTAGAACAGACTTCCGGAAGTGGTATCCATGCACTTCTGGTGGGCTGTTCTAGGCCTGGGAGGCCTTCTCCAGTCCTCCAAGGCCTAGAACGGACTTCCGGAAGTGGTATCCATGCACTTTTGGTGGGCTGTTCTAGGCCTGGGAGGCCTCCCCCAGGCATCTGATGCCTAGAACAGACTTTCGAAAGTGGCATCAACGCACTTCCGATGGGCTGTTCTAAGCCTGGGAGGCCTCCTCCAGCCCTCCGAGGCCTAGAACAGACTTCCGGAAGTGGTATCCATGCACTTCTGGTGGGCCGTTCTAGGCCTGGGAGGCTTCTGAGGCCTAGACTGGACCTCCAGAAGCCAGCCGGTTCTCCAAATTCAGGTAAATTTAGCTACCGGTTCTCCTGAACCGGCTGAATCCCACCACTGGATTGACCCATATCTCTGCTTGTTTCCTTCTCCCATCAGGCGACGGCTCAGCCAGTAAGGAGGACACGGTCAGGATTCATCTGAATGGCATCCTCCAGCCCGCAGGTTCTCCGGGCATCTCACGGAAAGATTTCCCGGGGTCCCTTTCCATGAAGTCAGAATCTTTCGATCAGGGTTACGAGTCTGAACGACAGCACAGGACAACCCCCGTGAAGACACAGAGCCCAAACCTTCAGAAAGAGAAGGACATCATGGCGGATAAGGTTGGCCTACTTTGTGCTGGAGCAGAGCCCCACATATGTCGCAAATGCGGGCAGACCTTTGAGCACCAGTCGGGGCTGATCGTCCACCAGATGATCCACACAGCCGAGCAGCCTTACGAGTGTCTCGAATGCGGCAAAAGCTTCTGCCGACAGGACAATCTTCTGGAGCATCAAAGGATCCACCTGGAGGAGCGGCCTTACGAATGCCCCCAGTGCGGGAAGACCTTCAGCACTCGCTCTTATCTGATCACCCACCAGAGAATCCACAGGGGTGAGAAGCCGCCATACAGGTGCCTCCACTGCGCCAAGAGTTTCAGCCACAGGTCCTCGCTGGTCAACCATCACAGGATCCACACGGGAGAGAAACCGTTTGAGTGTCCCACATGCGGGGACAGTTTCTTCCAGAGCGGGCAGCTGATACGGCACCGGAGGATGCACACGGAGGAGAAACCGTACAATTGTTTTCAGTGCGGCAACAACTTCAGCCAGAAATACTGCCTTGACATCCACTTGAGGATGCACACCTGAGAAAAGCCGTACGTATCTGCCGAGTGCGGGAAATGCTTCTGCCAGAGTGCCCAAGTTAATTTGGCACCAGAGAATCCACTCAGGAGAGAAATCTTTTGGCGTGTGTGGAGTGTGGGAAGAGTTTTTCCCAGAAGGAAAAAGTGACTAAACAACAGCGAACCCACGTGGAACCCAAGCCGTACGAATGCCCCGAGGGTCGGAAAATTTTCCCACAGAGAAATAAGCTCTTTCGTCATCATCAAAAAAGCCACACGGGATTTGAAATGTTGTGAATGGCTTTTGTTGTCCAGAAAAATGATTGGACGTGTGCGCAAGTAGTCCTCGACTTACAACAATTCACTTAGTGACCATTTGAAGTTACAACTGCACTGAAAAAGGGACTTACGACCATTTTTCACGCTTACCACCACTGTAGCATCCCCATGTCACATAGCAATATCAATAGCATTTATATACCATTTCATAGCGTTTTTCAGCAAGGCCTTTTGACCAGTGGTACGGGAAGCACCTGTGGTACATTGGCACCTGTCAGGTGGCACGCGGCCATCCTAGAAAAGTGGTAGCGGGGGAAGGGAATGAGTTGAACCGGTGGCAGCACCGCACAAGCCTGAGCGAGAGATGGCTGGAGCTGCAGGGCTGTCAGGGCTCAGCAGAAGCGCCAGGATCAGCGCCAGCTCCAGCTGGAGCTCGGCGCTGATCCTGGTGCTTCCGCTGAGCCCAGAAGAAGCGCCGATCAGCTGGAACGTTGCAGCATCTCCAGAGTCTTGTGATTTACATTCAGATGCTTGGCAACTGATTCATATTTATGACGGTCACAGTGTGCCAGGGTCATGTGAAGTGAACAAAACCTGCTGCAACCACCCAGCAGACGGGGGAATAAAAACCAAACACCCCCTCACCCCACGCCTGCTGCCAATCCTCAGCATAAAATGCTCACAACAATGAAACCTCGGACAGGAGGAAGAGCGCCACCGGGCGGGCAGGCAGGTGTCTTGCTCGGCTGTGGCTTGGGGGGCAGTTTTTTCAGTGCCATTGTAACTTTGAAAGTCACTAAGCGAACAGTTGTAAGTCGAGGACTACCTGTACTTTATCACTTCCCCCCCCCTTTTTTGGTCATCAAGTTTTTGACACCTTACTAGGCGACTGGTGGTAGTTGGATGTTGCCATATCCTAAAAGTGGTCCAATGGGTGAAAAGGTTGAAAAGCCCTGTTTTATAGGCCCCTCTGAGTAGAGAGTCAGCATATTTGCCCCCAACAATCTGGGTCCTCATTTTACCGACCTCAGAAGAACAGAAGACTGAGTTGGGTGAGGATCGAACTCCAGACTGTGCGCAGAGTTAGCCTGCAATACTGCATTCCAGCCACTGTGCCACCATGACCCTTTTGATCCCATGACCGAAATTTGGATGCTTGGCAACTGACTCATATTTATGACAGCTGTAGCGTCCCAGGATCACGTGATCAACGTTTGCGACCTTCTGACCAACGAAGTCAAATGGGGAAGCCAGATTCACTTCACAATCGGATTATTAACTTAACAACTGCAGCGATTCACTTAACAACGGTGGCAAGAAAGATTGTAAAATGGGGGAAAATTTATTTAACGACTCTCTTGCTTAGCAATAGAAATGTTGGACTCCATTGCAGTCGTAAGTCGAGGACTAACTCTATAAAAGGTTTTTGTCCGAAACACATTAAGAAAAAGTCTGGACTCTCTGAATGTTAGAAGAAATAACGCAAGAGAAACGAGGAAAAGGCCTTGATAGATTAATGCTGTCTATAATAATAATAATAATAATAATAATAATAGGAACTGCTTCCATCCTGCGACGATACCTGTAATACCATCAAACATCCACATCTGCCTATCCCAGGTCCTGGGTAAGGACTCGATAGGTAGACAAAATGCCAAATCCAGTCTGAACATCTGGCTGACTGTGCGATTATCCATAATAATAATAATAATAATAATAATAATAATAATAATAATAATAATATGCAACATAACACCCCAGACTTAACAATTGTCGATAAGAAAGACAAAAAAGTCTGGATAGTGGACGTGGCAGTGCCTGGAGATAGCAGAATAGAAGAGAAAGAACTGGAGAAGATAACAAAATACAAAGCCCTACAAATAGAAATAGAAAGACTGTGGCAAAAGCAAGCAAGGGTAGTACCAATAGTCATAGGCTCCTTGGGTGCAATCCCAAAACAACTGGAGCACCACTTGAACACCATTGGCATTGACAAATTCGCTATTAGTCAATTGCAAAAGGCAGCCTTATTAGGAACTGCTTCCATACTGCGACGATATCTGTAATACCATCAAACATCCACATCTGCCTATCCCAGGTCCTGGGTAAGGACTCGATAGGTAGACAAAATGCCAAATCCAGTCTGAACATCTGGCTGACTGTGCGATGATCCATAATAATAATAATAATAATAATAATAATAAAGTTGGAAGGGACCTTGGAGGTCATCTAGTCCAGGGCTTTTCAACCTTTTCACAGATTGTACCACTTTTAGGACATGACAATATTTGAGTATCACCAGTGCTTAGCAAGGTGTCAAAAATTTGACAACTAAAAAAAGGGAGGGGGAAATTTGGGTTTTACTGATTAGATTCATTTGTTCTTATAGAAATGGCTAGTTTATAATATTATGCAAAAGTAAAAAATTGAGGTTCAGTGTTAATGCTTCCTTCTACCGCAACAGAGGAAGTGCTGTATTTTCCGGCATATAAGACGACTTTATAAAGCATGCAAATCGGCTCCGAAGTCAGGGGTCGTCTTATACTCCGAGTCGTCTTATACGCTGGAAAATATGGTATGTTCTTTTTCCCTTCTCCCCCTCACTTTTTCCCCCTTTTTCCTCCCCACTGTCTCCTACTATTTGCCTTTGTATTTTTGTATTTTATTTTATAATCTAATAAAATATTACAAACTGTAGGAAAAAAAAGTACCAGTTTTAATTTCTTTGGTGGCTGTTCCTTTGTTGAGTCACTTTCCCTTTGCACTAACAAATGGATGATGAATTTATCCACATTTATTAATGTGCATCACTACCAGGAATTCTGGGAGTTGAAGTCCACAAGTCTTAAAGTTGCCAAGTTTGAAGACCTGTTTTAGACCAATGTCTCTTTGGCCACTTGAAGATGGGTGGACTTCAACTCCCAGAATTCCCTGGCCATCTATACTGGCTGGAGAATCCTGGGAGTTGAAGTCCACCCATCTTCAAGTGGCCAAGGTGGAGAGATGAGCGAAGATAACCTTTATTGTTTTAGACACTGATGGCTGCTACTTCTGTTCATTTGACTGGATTTTTAAAATGTCAGTCCTTCCGATGGTCAAACTTAGCAATGTTGAAAAACTGCATAAAGCCACGGAGAGACAACCCTGGTGACAGGCAGCTCCAAACGGCATTATAAATTGGAGAACGCCTGAAGGAATCAGTGCTCAGTCATTGCAGGGTGCAAATATGGCTGACTGCCTTCGCAGTGTTTATTGCCTTTTATACTGTTTTCCAAATAGCATAAAGTAAGATGGCATCAGCATAGTAACAGCATTTCTATTGGTGAAACCCCTTGCCAATCCTTAAAATATACCAGCTAGGGAAATGTAAAACAGCAATAGGATCATATTACCATATATGGTGGGAATGCCCAAAGATCCGTGAGTATTGGAACAGGACCCGAAACTGGTTGAGGGATATATTAACACTGGACTTAGAGTTAAAACCTGAACTCTTCTTGTTGGGAATAACGACAGAAAAATACGACAAGAGAACAATCTACCTGCTGCTACACATCCTGACTGCAGCTAGGCTTGCTTTAGCGCAAAAAGGGAAGAGCAAGGAAATTCCCACAGAGGAAGAGTTAATACATAAAATATTAGCATGTGCAGAAATGGACAGGCTCAAAATGATATTAAAAGACAAATGTGGATCAGTTTATTATGAAACCTGGGATAAATTTTACCGCTGGAGGAATTCGAAGAGGACGTTTGGGATTAAAGATGAATGTTAAGATAGAAATATGTGTTATTTTAGAATAAGTATTGTATCTAAAACTTAGATGTATATGTAGAGATGAAGAATTGATTGCAAAAAGTGGAATAATCTGATAAGAATGTATATACTGGAATGTCACGTTAAATCCAATGTTTGTTTGTTTTTAACTGTATTATAAATAAAATTGGAAAAAGAAAAAAAGAATATACCAGCTAGGAGCCCCAGACAGGGAGCAGTCTTCTGCCACATCCTGTTGATGTAACCTGGCTGATATCATGTGTACCAGGTGATATCATGTATCAGCCTGGGGTATTTCCCTACATCACCATGGTGATGTGAATGGATAAGATCATGTAGAGAGAAGAGGCATGCAGGCTTTGGAAAGGCAGTTTGCTGTTCATGACCTCTAACTGGCCCCTATCTCTACAAACACCCAACTTCTTGCAATTCTTGTGTCTGTCTCACTGCCATTAGGTTTATATTAATTCAGGCTTCATGTGAGATGGATGGGGACAAATTTCACGCAACTTCCCAGAAAAAAAAAATGCTGTGTCTCAGATTTTATCCAGAGCTTTAGGTTAAATCAGGGGTAGGCCACCTTGGCTCTTTTATGACTTGTGGACTTCCAACTCCCAGAATTCCTGAGCCAACATGGCTCAGCTTGGAAACCTCTCCCTTTCCCCTCAGCATGGCTGGCTCAGGAATTCTGGGAGTTGAAGTCCACGAGTCACAAAAGAGCCAAGATGGCCTACCCCTGGGTTAAATCCAGATTAGGGATTGGAACAGAAACTGATTTTTAAGAAAGCCCAGTATTTCTCTCAACTTTGGCAACTTTAAGCTGCCTGGACTTCAACTCCCAAAATTCCCCAGCCAGCCTTGAATTGCCCATGGTGGGGAATTCTGGGAGTTGAAGTCCACGCATTTGAAAGTTGCCAAGGTTGAGAAACACTGGTAAAATTATTTTGATCCCTTAACAGTGTATACAT